GAAGGGGATGTCCGAGGATGTCTCCCAGACTTCCTGGGACCACTGGATTGACAATAGTGTCATTAATGGACATAAGAATACAGCAGGAGATGTTAGTTCCAAATAAAAATGAGTTCCGTTTTGGAAATGTGGACTTTGAAGTAAAACTAGAGGGACAGGTCCTTGAACTGAAGCCTGGGATAGAGGCTCATTCATTCATTTATTCATTCTGTACTCTTTTATCTAATAGGAATACGGAGAGAAGTAAGACTCACTTTCTTCCCTTAAAAAAGCTCATAGTCTAAAAGGGGAGACACATACATAAGCAAATAATTTATAATTCAGTGTGGTAATTTAAATATGTGCAAGGTACAGTGATAGCTCAGTGGTGAGAATGTTTTGCTTTGTCTGGTTCTGGGGGTGAGAGTCAATCAGTATTCCTGGAGGACTGAGCTGAAAAGGAATTTGACTAGCAGACAAGGCAAGAGAGACTATTCTGGCATATACATACTAAATATTTTATTCAAGGAACAAAAAATAGTTTATTATTATTTATGCATAAGGTACAAAGGAGAACATGATACTGAAGACATAGCCTAGTGTCAGATCCTAAGGAATTTGGAGTTTTTGCAGTGAGAAGCCACTAAGGTTGTTGAAAAAGAGTCAAGGTAGATACTGGGATTCACCACTTGCTGCTTCCAAAGAGAATTTTGGTCCTTCCTAGAGTCAACTGAGAAAGGGAATATAGTCTGCTATCTTCCTCTTCCTAAAGCAAGGTTATAATTCTTTTATAAGGATTTTAATTGTTAGCAATGATGAGGAAATAAACAAGGAATAAAATGTCCCTTGCTCTCCCCATCTTGTTTTTTTACTTAAACCCTTTAGAGCAGTGATTTAAAACACCATCCATTGCAGCATCCTCCTTTCATTAAAAAAAAAAATCTTAAAATGCTCCCTTTACTATCTGAAATGAAATTCTTCTAAATATTATAACTTGCTTGTGCTGGGCTGAATAATGGCCCCCCAAATATATCCAAATTCTAATCCCTGTGAATGTTACCTTATATGGCAATGGAGATTATTCTGGTGGATTCGGTGCAGTCACATGTATCTCAGAGGGAGAACACAGACAGAAGTGGAGAAGGCCATATGACCACAAAAGCAGAGATCAGAGTGATTTGGCCACAAATCGGGTCATGTCAGCTGTCACCAGAAGGTGGAAGAGGCAAGAAATAGATTTTCTCTTGAACCTCAAGAGGGATTGTGGCCTTCCTGATACCTTGATGCTGACCCAGTGAAACTGATTGTGGCCTTCTGACCTCCAGAACTGTGAGAGAATACATTTCTGTTGTTTTAAGTCACCAAATTTGTGATAATCTGCAGCAATAGGAAACTAATTCACTACTTATACATACTATAATGCCATAAGGAGGAACAAAAACAAAATAAATGCTGTTGGTGAAGTGATTTTCCTAAATGGTGAATGGTTTTTGGTAAAGTTCCAAGCAAAACAAAACATCCACTTACATGGTCATTGTATTCCTGGAAAATTTAGCATATATTCAAAATATTCATTGTTTTCTCAACATCTGCCAAACTGTGCTTGACACACAGAAGGTATTTAATGAAAGCTGGATGTGTGGGTGACGAGTGGATGGGTGTAGTAGAGCTACAGAGGGATTCTATTTTAAAGTCCCCAAATTAACACACAGGGCAAAAATTATGTATAGTCAAAACTATCTTTGAAAATTCCTTATGTAGTTTATAAACTAGAGTGCACAACATTTACATGACATGTTGGATGCTAATATACCATTTCTCAATGAAGCTGAGAGCCTTTTTGTACCCCCAGCACTGGTCTGAACACTGTGTAAAGGGTAAAATCCCATTCAGCACTGAGAGATGCTCTCACTGTGAGAGCACACAAGATTGAAACTGGCTGAAGGACAGCAGATTCCAATTTCCCATCTCAGTACTCATTGTGAGCATTTGTTTATTGTTTGGAACGATAGCTGTTCAAACTATAATTTCATATCTTTTTCTTCTTTTGATTAGTGGGTATAGTTCAGTATCCCCAAAGTTAACTAAGTGGGCAGATTATATGACTTCATCTTCAGTGAACTGGTGTTCTTGTCTCCCCTTTCTGCTAGTAAGTAGTTCTCAGCTTTGCTTGGTTTTTCTTCCCTGGGGCATTTGGCAGTGTCTGGAGACAATTCTGATAGTCACAGCTGAGTACTGGAGGACAGGATGAGGTGCTACTGGCATCTAGTGAGTAGAGGCCAGGGATTGAAATGTCCTGCAGTGCACAGGACATTACCTCTGGCCCCCGCCCTGCCCCCACTGCAAAGAGTTATCCAGGCCAAAAATGTCTATAGTGGCAGGATGAGAAACCCAGGGCTGGATTGTATGCATACACTGCTCATGTAGTGATTCCTTCGCATTTGCTTTGGCATCAGAGTGTTTCCTGTAGCAGAAGCTGAACTTTTTGTTACTGGGCTTTAGGAAAGGAGGGGTGGGAGTCTCTGCAGGAGTAAACATTCTTAAATTAACCTTCTATTTTATTTTATCAAGGTAATAATGGTTACACTCACGTGTAAGTACACTTATGCGGGAGGATTTGAAGCAGTTCCCCGCCCATTGTTCCCCACTTCAAGTTCCATTTCCCAGAGTTAGCAACACGCAGAGTTTTTGTTTTTAATTCTTTTGGGGAGTTACCTTCGTAAGTCTAAATAATATTCTACTGTGGTTTATCGATTTCAGAGATTATCTGTTGACACTTCATTATGAAAGGTGAGGATTTAGCTCAGGTACGCTAATCCTCCCTTCCCCCTTCTCATTTTCATTAGTTTGTATTTGATAACTCTTTCACTGATTATTTGTAACTCTAAACGATGCATTTAGACTTTACTCTTTGTTTCATGGACGTGATGGTATCTCTTGACTCTGCTGTATCACAGGCATTAGTGCTCCTGCTCTCACCTGTCCTCTTCCTGTTTCCCATAGTCCTCTGCTCTACCCTTGCATTGTCAAGGTTGACAATATTTACTTTCTCTTTTGTAATCATATGTAAGGCATTCGTGTTTTATGTAAAAGTTGAGACTGAAAACCAGTGAATAGTACTTATAGGATATTCACTCCGAACCACTCAGCATGTAGGGATCCTAGAACTTTCTCTATGCATGCAGTGTCTCAGCCTCTGTGACACTGAAAGGAGACTGTTCCTAGTTCTGAAAAGGGAATGCTCCTAGTGCTCTAGCATGCCATATTCTTTTATCACATTGGGTAGTCTGAAATATGCTGCATTTAGTTGGTAAACAGACATTTAAACACATTGAGAAAGATCAGAAGTAGCGCTACAACTGCAGAGTAGACGTTCAATAAATGAATTACCTGCCTGACACTATTAGAGAGAAAAAAGGCAAGAGGAGAATGAAGGAAATCATGAAAAAGAAAAGAATTTCAAAATAAGGGTGTATTCCATATGGCAAGCTCTCTGAGAGTTGAGCTGTATTTGAATAACTCATGTCCCTCAATCCAGTTCCAAAGATAATATTGCTGCTGCTGAAACTTGGGCTTTGTACTGTAACCAGAGTTTATTAATTGTCCTATTTCATTGAGGGAAAAATGCAAAGCAGACAGAACACTGGAGTAACTAGCTGGAAATATTCCACTACTTCATGGGAAGCAGCTTTCCAAATGACTCCTGTGGAGGCCAAACTCGTGGTCTAGCCAAAATAGCACTAAAGTGTGCCTTGATGGTGCATTAAAGAAGAAATTTTTCCCCAGTTTACTTGATTAAGATTTACAACCTTTCCGCCCCCTCAAAAACATAGCATTGATTTCTTTAATATCAAAAAATAATTTCCTAAAATAGATTGCTGATGACTGCTTTCAGTTGTTTATTTAAGGAGGATTGTGCCAAGTACTGTTTGTATGAATTCCTGTAAAAGGGTGAATTAATTTCATAATTTTCATAATTAATGTTGTTCCTTTTCTGTAAGAATATGCTATTACCGTGACTGGTCATCACCACATCTCATTCTGATGTCTCTCAAAACATCTTTCACATTATAAATAAGATATTACAACATTGATCATAGGAAGGAGTTTTTTGCCTTATAGATCATTTTCAGTTAAATCCTCTGTTTTTCACTTAATATTGACTTTTTCATGTTATTTACTATGAGCATAGTTTTTAATGGCTACATGTTATGCTACTAGATAGACCTACCATAATTTACTTAACCCCTTTATCATTGTTTAGCTTTCAGGTAGTCTTTTTTTCAATGTAAATGATGCATAATGAGTATCTTTGCATATAATGATTTCTTGGATCTTAGTCTGATGCAGGCTCCTAGGGATCAAATGTTACGAATATTTTGAAGGTTCATTGTTCACATTGCATTCCAAAGTCAGTTCCAATTTACACTGTTGCTAGCATCTTAATTGTTCAAATGATAGAACAGAGTTTTAGAAGTATTTCACTAGTGTTGTTTTGGTTTATATGTCAGGATGATCCAGAAAACCATTAAAAAGTGAGTATGTGGTGATAAAGCATTTGGCTGACGGTTTTTATTTTAGTAAAATAAAATACTTATTTTATTTTAGTAAAGCCTCAGTGTTAAGCCAGAAGCCATTATTCATACTCATGATGTCTCAGCCATGGAAGAGTACTTCTAATTTTTGGAACATAAAAGAAGTAGAGTGACAGCGACTGAACTGAATCACTAGCCAGGCCTGCTGACTTGAAAGATAGTTAGGATTTGAGCATAGTTGTCAGTCTCCATTTAAAAGTCGAAACTTTTTTCACTCTGAATTTGGGAGTTTGCTGTATTTAGAGATATTTTCATAAAACTAGAAAATAGTAGAGAACAAATTTTAGATTGCTAAAATACATGCCACTAATGTCAGAAGTTACAGTTACAATTATTTTCATCAAGCTGTTAGTTTGATTATATTTTCTGAAATCATAAATGTTAGGTTCTAATTTTGAAGTTAAGAATAAGTGTTTATTGGGAGTAGGGGGTATAGCTCAGTGGTAGGGCACATGCTTGGCGTGTATGAAGTCCTGGGTTCAATCCCCAGTGCTTCCATTAAGAGGAAAAAGAAGCAAAAATAAAAAGCCATTTATTTTTATTTTTTAAGTTTATTTAAATTTAGATAATTGAAATACCAGTTCTTTTAGAATATTTCAGTGTTACGTTTGCTTATAGGAAAGTTATTTGCTTTTCATGTTTACTAATATACAACCTATACTTGTTTTCTGCTATTTAATAATAAAGCAAACCCTAGTCAAACTTTTTGAGGAGTACTATCTTGATAACTTGCTCCCTGACTAAGAAACTAGTGCAAAATGTATCATTTTAAAAGCAAGTTATTTGGTATATTTCCATCTGTAACACTGAGAAGTCTCCTTGCTTTAAGTCCTGGGAAAGAAATTTTTGTTTTTCCCCAAGAAAGAACACTTTCAACTATAATATAAAAGAGGGACACTGAAAATGAACAATGATGTTTCTTTAATCTGATGCCTTATAGAGACAGAGACCTGGAGACTTGGTTCACATGCACATAATAAGTGACAAAATTACCTTCTCAACATCAGATTAGATAGAAGCTAACATGTAGAGAATTTTCTGGTTTTATATATACATATTACATGTATACTATACATATATATCAAGGCTTTGGAATGTTAAATATAAGAAATTGTGCCCCTATATTGACATTATCAATTATGTTTAGGAAGATTAAAACAAACTAGTGAAAATTTATTGATTAAAATAATTATTAATTTTTGTGATGACATTCACTTTAGAATGTGTATTTGAAAAAAATAATTTTGGCATTTCACATAGGAGGAAAAAATTCCAGTTCTTAGTTTTGTAACTTTTGCTTTTTGATTTTTTGTTCTAAAATGCATCTGCAATCTACCCCTTTAAGATTATTATTGAAGTCTTCTTTGTTAAAGCAAAAAGGTTCCTACTTATAATCAAATTATATATCCCAAATTCAAAACTCAACTATTCTTGTCCACTGTTGAGCAGTATAGAAATACATTTTTAAAAATAGCTGGGTCATCAAAAAGGTTTCTAAATTCTTTGATCAACTCTAATCATAAAGTTTTTAAAAAGTTTAGAATATTGAAATTTTTTTCTCAATTAGTAAAGCTTTTTTTTAGCTTTTCACTATTTTCTTTCTGACTTTGTAGTTATAACATGTAAAGACCATATATGGTTTTCAGAATGCTTATTTTTACATACCTGGTGGACTTTATGAAAGTATAGAGGAATTTTTTGTTAATTAAGTGGTAGTTTAAAGAAACCCATGTATATCTTGGGAGAATATACTAAAAACTTGCTTTAAGAAATGATGAGTCATCTTTGACTCAAGAGGAGATTGTTACTATATCAAGCCGTAGTATCTGCTAATCTGCTTTTTTTAGTGCAAGCACTGTAATATGAAGCACTTTTCAAACTATAGGATTATGTAAATGTTTTTATTTCATTTTCACCAGTGGTGTCACTAGTTAGAACACGAAGCTTTATTATCTAAGGACAATTTGGTTCTTTTATGAGCCTTTCAATCTTTATCTTTTCTGTGACCACACTTCTTGAACATGTGGAATGAAAGTGTAATTCCATATTTTTTTATGATGAGAAAGAAAGTGTATGCCTTAATTGCAGGGTGAGGGTGTTGTTTCTATCATGAACACATTATCATCTCCTAGGTAGCCTGGAAAAGTATCTCTGAAAGTATGGTACAACTTTTGTACTTTATCTAGCTTTATTTTCATATGCAGCTTTCAGAAACCATTGCCAATGAAAACTTGGACCGTGTAGTATGCAAGTACTGTTTAGTGAGAAGTGGATTGTTTTTGAGTAATAATTTTGTTTGAATGAATGCAGCCTGAGTAGTTGTTTGACAGCTTTGGAATTTGCTCAGCTCTGCTTATTCTAAGGGGACATATCCTGATGGATCATAGGATTTTCTGGCTTCCCCTGCCAAAGTAGTTACTTCTGCTTTAAATTTAGTGTGACTATCTAATAGCTTTAAGGTAGTACTGGAATGGCTTTCTTCCTTTAAGACTTGGCACACAAATAGTTTTGTGTGAAAATAACAATTATAATTCCTCTTAACAGCTGTGACATCTTATGAAGATCTTGGACTCTTTGCATTTGGATTGCCTGGAAAGGTAATTTTTTTCTCCTTGTTGTGTACAAAATCCAGAAAAGCATTTTTTCTTTCTATTTCCAGTTAGAAGAGACAAATATATATATGAGAAAGAAATTAGGAGAATAAAAGGAAACTAAAGTGAAGAAAGACAGAATCATAGGAGCAGGAAGAGAAAGAGAACAAATCTCTATGCTCTTCCTAAAAATGCACTGATTAATCTGACACTTAAATCTTTTAGTGTTTTTTACTTTAATGAAGGAGAGCAATGACTTGAATAATTTTAAATCTGTAAACTGTTTTAAGTTTCCTTATTAATTTTGATTATATTATCTGAGTAAATCTGTGTGAAGACCAAAGGTAGAAACAGAGAATTAAACTTAAAGCATGACTGTTTAAAAAACTGATAATTAGAAGATCATATCATTTAAGAGCTGAACAGTAGGAAAGGATGATCTAGCCGTCTCCTCATTTATAGGTGAGGAAATTAAGGCCTAGAGAAGTGAAGGGGCCTATTTGCCACAATTACTTAGAGCCAGTGTTACACTGCCGGACTCCAGACTCAAAAATCTACTGCTTTTCCACCACAGAATAAGAAAAATAACAACAGTATTTATTGGGCATTCGTTTGTGATAGGCATACTAAACTAATTTAATAGATAAAGGAAACACTGTCTTCTTCCACAAGTAATCAGGAGTTAAATATTGTTAGTACTTTAGTAATTCTTTTATTTCTGAAGAGCTATCATAATTCTAAAACCCATTTTATATGTTGGTTCCAAACAAAATTTTTCTCCTTGTCTGTAAATCTGTTGGTGTGTTTTTGGTTGGTTGGTTTGTCTTATTTTTTAATTTTTATTGAAGTATAGTCAGTTTGTTTTGTTTTTAATCTAAAAGGATGCTATATTTTGTAGATGGCTAAACTTAACTTGTAAGAAGTGAGTCTGGAAAGAAAAAGATACAGCTATGTATTAGGGGGAAGTGTGTACTTACATTCAGATTAACTTTGTTTTTAAAGTACAAAGAGAACGTTTAAATCACACTATGTAATCTCATGGTTTGGATCTTCTTTTAATAACCTGGAACTTGAACAAAATGGAGTATATGTTACTTTGGAGGGTAAAGGTTTTTGTTAATCATCCCTGGTAACAGTTTCTCTCTCTAGAAGCTTGGGATGTTTGGTATAATCATGACCAATTTCCTGTATCCAGTTTAACCAAGGAAGAAGAAGAAAATGTTATTTATATAAGAAAAGTCTCCAATTAATTTAATATAATCTATAAACATGACTCTGAGCATCATCACTGTTATTTTGCATTAGTATTTCCCGCATTCCTTGGGTAGCAACAGTGTCCACAAGAAGAGCATGGATTCTTGAGTTCCCTTTTCCTAAACCTCTAGAATAGTTACATTATCATTTTAATGTGTGCTCCCAGTTCTTAGTAGGCAGGTACACAGAAAGAGGATACTCTAAATGAGGAGTGTTATGTTTGTTTAGTATTTTCTCTCAACTTCCACAGTTTGGTTGAAGCTTTCCTATTTCCTTCTTTCCAGACGTGATGTGAATATGGATATGACATATGATAGGGTAACATTGTTCTGAAAATTAAATATTTTTGAAATGTTTTAAATGTTTTAAGGAAAAATCTTAATTGTCTGTAAATGGGTTTATTTACTCACCAAATATTTATTGAGCAAACACCACGTTTTGTGCACTGTAGTAGGTGCTGAAAAGATAGATACATAGATACATATACCGACTTTCTAGATCTTAAATGCTTAAATTCAGCCAAAAATGGGAAGATAGTCATCAATAAATTGATATTATTGCTTTTTGTAATATATTAATAGAAAAATCCAGATTTCATGTATGATTGATAATAGGTATCAACTGCATATGAAAGTGTGCAAAAAGTTTAAAAGTCTTTTCACAGATAACTGTGAATGACATTTTGGAACTAATTTTTAAATTGTTTGATAATGTAAAGATTTTTCTGGAAAATGTTAAGAGTGGCAATTATCACATCTTTGAAGACACCTTGCCATTTTTTTTTTTTATCATTAGCCCTGCTTTGCAGACCTCAGGATCTCTAGGTCTCAATAATTTAGTTTGTTCCCAGGATAGGCAAATGCTATGTCACTGATGGAATTCCTAGGAGAGGAAGAGTGATCTCTTCCCAGTATGTAGGACTGAATGATCTTAGATAGCTAGTCAGCTCCAAACATACATCGGAGGTACAGATCCACCAAGATTTGCACGATTGAAAGACCCAAGTGGAAGCAGAATGCTTGATCACTTCCTCTGAGTATGTCTGATTACCAAGAATGGATAAAGTGCTGTCTTGAATTTCCCAGGAATCTCATCAAAGATCTAGCAAGCCTGCAGGCTGAATTTAGTCCTCAGGCATATTATATTTGGCTCAAATCTTTTTTATTTTTAACTGATTGCCAACCCAGAGTTATGACATTTTGAAAGAATTCAATTTCTGGCTTGCCTTGAAAAATCAGAAGACCTCGCTACATTGGATTCACATTCTCACGTGTCAACAACTGTCCAGAGCTGCGTAGCAGCTGCCTTATTTTGAAAGAGGGAAATTCTCCAATATATTACAGTCTTTATACCTCCTGTTGTCTTGCACTCAGCCCATTTCATGTTATTGCATTTGAAACATTTTGCTTCAATTTTCAGATCTGAGACTATGTGGGCTCTTGTGTTTTCTGCTCTGAACTTTATTCCTGGGCCAGGGATATTCAAGGTTTGATGTATGCTGAGCTGATACACTCTGAAAACTACATTATTTCCTTTTATGCAGTACAGCATTGGCACCACATACCTCAAGCTGTCTTAGTCTACCTAACAAAGCAATGTGGTAAAAACCAGTAAAAAAAAAAAAAAAAAAAGAAATGAGACCAGATAAATTCAATTTCAGTTTTTTGGTACTTCAATAACCATTGTTTACTAGGTTTTTAACAATTTAACTGTTTAAAAATGACTGCCAAGAAAATTTACAGAAGTATTCTTTATAGTAACCATGGAACTATTAAAGAAAGGCTTTTTATGTGATGATTATTAGTTTTATGTATTACAAATGACTGGCAAAATGTATTCTTTTCAGTTTCTCTTTACTGGACTTCTGTATCTGTTTTTTAGTAATAGTTAATTGGATTTTAATAAAATACTGATCCTTTTATATTATTTCCCCTTTCATCTTCTGAATACATTTGTTCTTTTATAGGTGGTGGTGGCAGGCACCATAATAATTCAGAATATTGGAGGTAAGCAATTGAAAGTGCACTGCTTATGCATGGATGTGATGGAAATGATTTCCTCCTTTGGTTTCTTGCCTTATTACAGGTCTAGCTGAGAACCTGCACCTCTGTAGACATATCTCAGAAACCCTGTGTGTTGTCGTCATTTACTTTTTTTTTTTAAGATCCTTTTTAGCAGCCTTTGTAGGACAACAGCTTCTAAATTCAGTTGTAGCTAACCCCTTGATTTCAGTCTTGTTATTAGGTCTGTCTGCAACAAACACCTCTAAAGCATTGGCTTTCTGTAGTTATGATACTGGTGAGGTATAGCTTGGAAAACGTCTCCAGGTGATTCTAAAATACCTCCCCTCCACTTTTGTCCTGATTACCCCCAGGGGCGAATACTGCTCTAGAGGGAGTGGTGGTCCTGACTGTGAACAGTCAGGTGTGGACAGCAATCTCCTTTTGTAATGAAGAAATTGAAAATGACCACGTGGTTTGAAAAATAGACAAACGAGACAGGAAGCATTCTTACATTTATCTTGTATCTTGTTTCCATTGAAAAATGATCTTGATATCAAGAACTAGGTGGAAGCAAAAATTACTATTAATTATTGATAGCTATTGACTAAATGTATTGAACATTTAAATCCAAAATACTATGGGAACCATATCTGTATGTGTTGTAAAAAACTTACACGGTGCTGACCAATGTCTTAATTTTCTTTTACCATCGACTGGAAAGCTAAATAAATGCTATTAGTTTGAAGTCAAATACACAGAGAAGGTTGACATGCACTTTGGATCTTACACAAGATCATATGGTCATAGGGAATTTTAATCTCATTTCTTGTATGTAGCAGCTCAAAATAATTTAAAGATGACAGCTTTAATGAAGTTTAACTCTGATACTCAAGAGATCTGAGCTATTTCACTTATTGTTCAGCCAAATTCCATCTTTAATAACTTTCTTGGTCAAGGGAAAAATTAACATTCCAACAATAAATTGTATTTGCCATTGTTTTGGAAATCCTAAACATTTGTGTTTTAATTATTTAAATTTTCATGGAAAAAAAATGCTATTGAAGAAGAATGCTCTCTTAGACATCATACCAAATAATTTCCTTCTAACACACATTACTTCACTCTTCACATTAGCAGTCAGTAACCAGTCTTTTCCCTCATGAATGTATAAAATGCCATTGATTTTAAAATCTGCTGTGGAATAATTTATTTTATTTCAACAAGTATGTATTGCTTAAACGTACACTCAGTGACGCTAATGTGAAAATATACTTGGATATTTTCAATCCCTCATTTTCCTCTCTATGTGATTACTAAGAACCATCAATCACATTTTGTTTAGATTAAACTATTGTTTAGTATTTTCTGTAGAATTTTCAGTCCAGGAAACGGGAATCCAGATTTGTGACTGTGCAGAACGGCTGCTGTCGCGTTCTCGTACCCTTCACGCAGACCCCATCCTCCTCCTCCGACCGCGTCTGCAGCTGTTACTGTGCGTGGCTCTGTTTTAACACTTGCTGCTATTAGATTGGAGTTATCTCAGTATATGCTTTTCTCCCCCACTGTGTTGTAAGCGCCTCCTGGGCAAGGGTTATGTCTCATTTCTCTTTGTGCTCCTGGGACGTAGACGATACCTGGGACTTGATCAACCTTTTTTTTTTTTTTAACTGAATGGAGTTGAGTATGATTTGAGTGTGCTATATCCAAGTACTTTTTAGTATTCTAGATAGATTTATCAGGAAGTAGAGAAAAGGGGACAGCTAGACTGATTACTGGCTTTAAATATTTGAAAAGCTAAATCTGAAATACAAAAAAAAAAAGATACTAATTTAATGTTGTCCTGGAGGACAGAGCTGGTTCTAATGGGCAGAAGTCCACAGGGAAGCTGGTTTGGTTTCATTTGGAATACCTTTGTTACAAAGTTGTGTGATGATGGGGTGGCCTACCCACCTTTGACAAATATTCCTTATCTCTGAAGGCATTGAAACAGCTGGTTGGTCAGTTGTCAGAATGTTCTAGAAAGAATTCCTGCCGATACATCATCAGTTCTCCCAACTCTTAAGTTTGTTGATTTGCTCGCTCGCTTTGTTTTAGAACCTTTTTTAAAAAAGTGACTTAGAAGCAGTCACAGCAATTTTTACTGTCCCTCAAAATCAGAAAAGCTGGTAATGTTTATTTAGTTTTTAGAATAATGTCCTCATGATTTTCTGTACATTGGGTAAAAGTTTATTTATTGAGAGCCTGCTAAGTAATAACTGGAAAATATTTTCAGAGCTTTTTCTCTTCTGTCTTAGCCGGATGTGCATAAATCATTCCTTTATTATAAAAGAATTGGAAGCACGCTCTTGAGAGCAGAACACTGGGTTGGAAATCAGTTACCTTAATTCTGTCCACTCCAGTCTCTGCCATTGGGTAGCCACGTATGTTGGGGAAATTCCTCCCTAATCTCTTGGCTTCAGTTTCCTCTTTGTTAAATTGCTGGGGGTAGGATGGGAAAAGCAGGAAGCTAAGGTCCCATCTTAACAAAAAATTCCAGTTCTAATTTAGCATTTTGATAGGCATGTTAATTCCTTCAGAGCAGTAAACTATTTTTATTACAGGCAAGTTTTGTGAAAGGGTTATACTTGGTTCAAAAGATGATTTGGTCTTTTCTTAGGTATCTTTAACAAATCAGCGACTGTTGCTTCATAAGCTTTCATAGACACTGATCTTTGTCAGAAAGGGGAAGTCTCAGTTCTTAGAACTACCCTTTGGGGCAGCTGCCGAGCCTCTGAGGTTGACATCTAGGAACTCCAGCCTTAAGAAGTAGTTTCTTGATCAATATAAGTTGGGTCTGTGGGAGCCCTTACCAGTTACTAGGTTTAGTTATGTGTGCTTGAGAAGAAACAGCATACTTATTTGGGGGGAACTTTAATATGTTGTTCATATGACTTATTTAATGTTATTTCTTCAAAATAGAATTTGACTTTTTTCTTTATCAATTAGAAATACTTGGATATTTATAAGATGATATGAAGTGTATAGCATCAGATTAAATTTTGTGCTTCTTATATGCCTATCTGCATTTATAACATAGTTCAGAGCACGTTTTGAAAGATAGGAAATTCATTATTATAAATGATTGGAGTTTTTTAGTGATTGTTTAGAAATGAAAAATGATATAGTAGATTGTGTTTAGGTCAAGCTTTCTACTAGACACTGTAATTATACTACAAGAACTTGTCAGGGTGGAGGATACTGTCTTCATTTGCAGCGGATGAGATGAATGCTCAGAGGGGATAAGTGACTTGCTTACCTTCGCCCCTCAGTGAAGCCTGGACTCAGCCCTCACTCTGTCTACCTCGAAAGCCTTGGTTCTTTCTGCTGTGATATAATAAATGTTTGAAAAGCTATGAAAAGATTAAATGCTGAGGATTTTTAAAACTCCCTGGGGACAGGAACTATTTGTTTTCCTAACTTGATGTAGTTTCTGGTAGAGGAACTCAATAAATAATATATATTGAATGAATGAGACAGTTTTAAAAATTCTATTTAAAAGCCTAAGATTTTGCCTCACAGACAATTTTATATGCTATATAAATGATATACTTGAAAGCCCGTAGAATGACTTGTAGTTTAGAAATATATAAAAAGTGAAAGGTTGAAGATACTGAGAAGAGTTAGATCATATTTCTGTAAAGTAGCAAATAAAAATATTTTGAAATCTGTTGCTTTCATGTTAGGTAATCATGGCTTAGATTAATGCTTCCTAACTCTTTGATTCTTTGTAACATTTCAACATTCTCCGTTTTCTTGGGATTCTATGACCCTGACAAATCTATGAGAAAAAGGAAACGGAGACCCTTAAAACCAAGATGATCATGAATTGTCCTTGATCAATATTTGTTACATAGATCTTTCAGTAAGACTCAGTTTACCCCCTACATCTTTGTAGTCCATATGTCTAAGTAATTTACTCATTCGTTTATGTCCTTAAGTACCTAGCACATAGTAGTCATCGAGTATGTCTTACTTATTAAAGGAAGAAAGTAAGGAATGAGAGAAGGAGGGAGAGAAGGAAAAGCCAGCCACCTAGCTTGATCTTCTTTTAAAAGGAAGATCAGCTGGGAAGAGAAGACCACACAGTGACTGTGCAAGTGAGCATATAGTTTCTTTAGGAAAGAATCTACTATCAGAACTTCACAGAAAATCTTTTTTTCTCAGTGTCAGTCAGACACCAAGTATTAGTCAACAGGGCACGAATGTGGTCTAACAAATTGATTGAAAAAATCTACTGTTTTTGAAAAATCTCTAAACTTGATGACAGAAAAAAAAATGACTCACTAAATTTAGCACTCTTATTCTGGAGTTATGGAAACCATTGCCTTTGGAAAATGGAGAGCCACATAGTAAAATACTACTTAAAAGCAGCTCCCAATTGCCTCCCAGCTCTAATGAATTAGGAGCCCCAAATAGGCCAGAGCCAGAGAAAGCCCCCAGCTGCCCGTTGCCCCAGGTGCTGGAGGGGCATTTGCTAAGTAAGAGTCATTGCTGCTGGAACACAAAATCAGAAAAGAAGCATCTGGAAGTTTTAATATTTAATGCTGTTACATGAAAGAGAACTCTGGCTGAGAGTTTGAATTTGGCAGACTACAAGTGGAAAAAGATTAAAAATTGTCAAAACAAGTAAGTACAGGTAGTTTCCATGTAGTTTCTCTAATTGTGCTGCATCGTGAGATTCTTTTCCTAAAAAGCAAGGTAAGTAGTTAGCTTCACATGTGTTTGAATTCCTGAGGCAGACGACTCTGCTAAAATATCACTAGAAATCAAGCAGAAGTCTCCCAAATCATCTTCAGTCAAGCTGGAGAAAGTCCTGTTAACTCTGACAAGTACATGATAAAAGTGGTTACTTGATGTTACTTCTGGTGTCATATCTTGCCCAACTCAGAACACAAGGTAAATGGCTCCTAGGAATATGTTAAATTATTATTTTGCTCTTATAAAATACCAAGAAACACTCTGGATAGCAGACTCTTTCCTTAGTTCTTTAAAGCCCCAGTTCTTTAAGGGAGATTAAAGATTGAATCACTGCTACATATAATGAAAGGAGAAAGAACCCTAAACATTAGCAGTTTTACGGAAGCCTCCTGAAATTGCTAGAATGACCCAAATTTTCCAGACTGGCAGAGATTCTTCAGACCTTACTCTAGCAGCCTTGATTAACACCTCAGTTTGGGAGTCTAAGTTTTCAGAGAAACTCAGCAGCCCTTTTATGTGGTCAAATAGCACAGTTCTAAATCCCATAAACAGAAAGGTATAAATAAGATCATTCTTAGTTAAGAACTATAAAGATGTCAAATTCTCAGTATTTTTCAAAATCATGATTTACTATTAAGTAAGAAACTATTTGGCTTTACTTTTTTCCTGAATCCCCACCCAACCCCAGCCCCTTGGGTTACTAAAGTCTGTTAGAATTTCTCGTTTGTACTGTCTCCTGGGAAGCGGGGATTGGGCATGCTGTTACAACGCCATCTGCTGGTCAGCTCATCTGTAGTCCGACTGCAGTTTTTTTGAGGTCTGAATAATATAGTCCCGAAATTCTGGAAAGTACTGCCTTAGAATGGGAGAGATACAGGAAGTTTGGAACGGGAGTCTTTCTCACAAGTAATTCCTTTGACAGAATTTACTGGTTACATGTCATTTTAAAAAGGTTTTGAAAATAATGTATTTCTCAGTAATAAGTTTTATTCAAGTTTACAGGATTTTCAGAATAGTAAATATTCTGGTCACTTTTTATTCAAGTTTAAGATCTTGATAAATGATAAAAACAAAGCTGTGTATTTTCCTAAGGTTATGGAGGGAAAAGTTTCTCCATATATTTTGAATTTCATTTGTGCATAAATTAGAGAAATGACATTGTTTTCAGAGTTTTTTTTTAAAGTTCTTTTTTAAAAAGGTAGAGATTGTGTTGTGTACTATTTTGAGTGGAGAGACTTTCAGAGACATTTGGACATTTAGTAGGACCACCAGGTTAATAAGACACATTGAATAGAATAAACCAGTTGCTATCCATGACTAAAACCATGTTTGAAGTAAAACTGAATCTCTCTTAGAAGGAAAGGCAAACTTATTCTTTCCTTCCAGAGTACATCTGTTTAGAGCTGGCTGACTAATCCTTTAAGGCGTTGCTGAACTTCTCCCAAGTGCTGAAAACCTAGTTCTGTTTTAAAAATAGCTGTATGTAGTCTTAGCTTCATATATGTATTTTAAGTATTTAACAAAAAGGATAATTATTTTTGTAAACTAAAGATTTCTTAGGCCTAAAATCCTATTGAAGCTTTGTCTTTTTTTTTTTTTTGGAGTCTGGGGAAAAATATCCTATGAGAGTACAGGGTTTGTGGGAAGAAGGATTGGTTTTTGTTTTAATTTTTTTTTTCATTTTTAATGTAGTGTGGATTTCTCAAATATGTGAGAACAGGAAACTTTCTCTCCTAAACTATAGTAATAGCTGTAGATGCAGTAGAATTATAGTGGTCAGTGCAATAGGGTCTTATCATGAAATTCCTTAGCTTGTCTGGGGAAACTTGACTAATCACTTTATGAACCCAGTTGCAAAACTGAAATGAATTACATTGAAAATACATCTCAAAGTGGAATGAACATTACAAGTGTTTTTAAAGCTTCTAACTAATGTTCTGTGTTGTAGAAATTCTTCATTCTCTTTGAACCCAACTGGTAAACTCAGCATTCAGAAGCAGTTTGTTGTTTAAATGCTGATGAAACAAAGAAAAAAAGAGTAATTCTGGGGAGTGGTCCTTCTGATAGACTTTTCTTATTTTTCTCTGCTGTGGTAGATTTCTTCACTTGGCTCCCACACTTTCTCATTAGTGTAATAATTAGTAGTGCAGATTTCTCAAGTCAGACAGGCTGTTTCCACCATCACCAATTTGGATGTTACTTGTTGATGTCTCCATTTCTTCGTCTGGGAAATAAATAGCTACCTCACAGCTTTGTGGTGAAGGTTAGATTAAAAAAAACTTGCAGCTCACTTAGGATGGGCATTCCAAGCCCCTAAATGCTCCCTGTTCCTGTGGTTCTTCCCCAAGCACTTGGCCCTCTCTTGTTTCTGACGTCTCTCCCCCAGCCTCCGCGTTCCTAACTCATGTGTTCCTCTTTACGATTAGATCAACCGGTATTAATACCTTGCTACTTGGTATTGCCTAATCCAGTTTTACCCTATTTTAGTCATTTCTTAATGTAACAGTTGCTTCTCCACATGGTTTTTAAAGAATACTTTCAACTTCTGTGTTTTGATTAAGCTGACAGATTTTTTATTTCCTTCCCAGGGCAGTTTCCATTAAATTAGTTCTATTAGGTATGTTTGGAATGAAGGAGAAAAAAATACCTATTTAGTTAATGTGCTGAAACTAAATGATTTGTAATGGCTAAGTACCTGTCATCAAGGTATGTCTTTTAGCCCTAATGCTGGTTTTGGTGGTGCAGAGGCCAGAACCACTTCACCTAACCATGGCTCTTACAGATGACCCTGTTCCAGCTATTAATTTAAGAGTACAGTGTGGTGTGTCTTATATTAGTCATTTATGCTATGTATCGATGTCAACCAAAATCATTTACAAATTCTTGCTTATGACCTGTGTCTAAGATAAGTCCTTAAACACTTCTTTATGCCATTAATAAAAGACATGAGACAAAAGATGTGGCAGGCAGCTTTTGGATCTAGTGAACCTTTTGGTTGAAAACAGTGACTAAATGAGCATTCCTACTGGTTTTGTATCTTTGAAACTTTTCCAGTTTACTTTATTGAGCTAGTTGTTCTTTCTGTGTAAATCTGATTAAGATGCATTTCCTAACTTAACGTATATTTAGTAATTTTTTTGTCTGTTTCTTTCTGTGTCACACATAATATGTTAAGGTGCTAGTCCTTGTGTGAAAGTTCACTCGTGGTTGGGAAAAAATAATGTCGACAGTGAAAAGGATAGTGTCTTTCTTTGTTTTACTTGCTTCAATGGAATTTTTTCCCCATCATAAGTTCTGTGGTTTTGTAGCTCTTAAAACAGACACCAGCATTCTCTTAGAAAGAGGCAGTATTTTCCATGTTTTATTATATTTATATCTTGTATGCCAAGATCTTTTTTGAGAAACATATGTTTGGTGAGTTCATATTTCTTGAAATATACATGATTCTTCAGACTGGAGTCTAATGAAATAAGACTCCCATTTGAAAACCAAAGAGTTAAGGCTACAACAGAGGGTAAAAGTGATCAAATGATTAGCCAGAGGCTAATAGAAATTCTGGGAAGAATGACAGATTGTATATTAGAAAGAAATATGATCTCATATTCATTGAAACCTTTTACAACTAAAGATCTAAAAGAAATAATAGAAAATTACTGAAAGAGATGAATGTCTGAAACTTTAGAAAAGCATGTGGTATTGGGTTAATCCAAGCAAGAAAGACTGATGGACAGATAATAAATTACATTGTATAGGAAGTCTGCATTCCTTGTTTTCAAGGTACTTGTGTCTTTTTTTTTTTCTTTTTCTTGCAAGACGTATTTAAGTAGCTCTAGGCTAGTTTCAGAATATTCAGTTCGTGATTTTCATCCTAACACCATATGTGTATGATTCTTTGGAACAGATAAAGTTTTGTAAACAAAGACCCCAAATCCTTGAGTGGAGTAGGTTAATCTAAACCTTCCTTCTGTTCTGTGCCAAATTGATAGCATTTTTCCTCATGAGAATATGAACAATGTAGAATATCTTTTCACATACAATTAACTGTAATGCCCCGTAACTAACAGAACTGGAAGAATCGTACTGTACTTCTGCTGGGGGAAAAGCTATGTTCAACAGCTGTGCTTCTGCCAGGGAAAAAGAAGTAGTCATACACTAGAAAATGTGAACATGTATATTTTCATTGCAGAGAAGTGACTATTTACTTAACTCTTCTAAATTTTACTTTGCCATAAGTACATGTTTTACTTAAAAAAAATTGAGTGTATATGTTTGTATGTGTAAGGATTGCCTATCTTTATATAAATTTATACACAAATTAGCATATATCCTTCTTTCTCCAGGATTGAGAGGTCACACAGCACTATAATAATTGGGAAGTTCAGCCACTTTTAATATGTTGATTGAGAAATACACATTCTTTTTCTTAAACTCTCTGAGCCTTTTAATCAGTTTTTCCCCAGATTTTCGCCATTCAGACTTGGCATTCATTTGTGTTCTTTGTTTTTGTAGGTCCAAGGAGAAAGTGAAATGTTTCCTGAAATATAAATAAATAATAAAATTAACATGCATACAGAGTACGCCCTATTCTTCATGGACATATTTTTGTTGGCTCTTTTGTAATATACACTTAATCTCTGGAGGAAAGAGAGATTATTACACTGTTAAACCGACTCCAGATCATCTGAGTGTCTATATACTTAAGTATTTAAGTTTAAACTCAGGTATTTACATATAAATGAGTTCTGTATTCTGTAACCATATTAAAACATTTCCTAGTATATGATGGAAGGTTTATAAGATGTGGGTTTTTATTTTTTTATAGCTATACCAGAAATAGGATCATTATTAAAATACTATAAAAGCTAGTTATTTTTTGGCTCCTGTCTGATAGAATATGAGAAATAATGCTAGCTTCAGGTTTTGAGGGCATAATACAGATGAGCCCTGTTCTTAAAATGGAATAAAAGTTAAGTTTTGTCCCTTTAATATACTTAATAGTTTCAGTTGAATCTTTTCTAATCTGTTTTGGAGGACAATTTAAAATGTAACTCATTGTGCATTTTGGTATTGTTTGATGATAACATGTGTCCAAAATGGAAGAGGGGAGCAGACAGCAGCAGACAAAGAGAGAGAAAGTGAGGCTTCTGGGGGAGGTCTCTTTCTAGTAAGAAAGAGCAAATAATCGAACTTACTAGCTATGGTTATTAAACTCCTGTTTCCACCTCAATTGTTGCTAAATTGACCTCTAATGCCTTGGACAGGGGGATAACATATGAAAGTTTTTGCAAATCTTCAAACAAAATTTCATTTATAAGTGGCCTATAATCAAGACCCTTTCTCTTACCTAAATAGTTTGCCCTGGACTTAAAATGTAAACAAAAGATGGCTAATGAACTTACCAATTATTCTTCTCTACAAAGTTATTTATTCCTGGTGTGTATCTGTCTTTGAGAATAGTGCAGTATGAGTTAATATTCCACATGTTGTCTGTCATGTGTTCCACATGATATCTGTGTTTCTGAATAGATTATTCTTTAAATGGTTAAAAATAATAGAATTCTAACAAGCACTCTTTTTATTCTTTTTGCAGCTATGTCATCTTATCTTTTAATTATTAAAACAGAGCTTCCTGCAACTATTTTAGAATTTTTGTCTGGAGACTATAGTGGGTAAGAAAAAATATTTCACGTTGTGTCCATTTATTTATAATTCAATAAATACCTGCTAAGCCCTCATGGGAAGTAAAACAAATGTAGTCCCTGCCCTTAAGACATTTACAAGCTAGGCAGGGGCAGAGTAGTTAGAGGGAAGAAGACACTCAGCAGACAACTGGAGCTGATCGTTATGTGCAGAGCACTGTGCTGTGACTCTTATGCGCCAGTGTAACCCTTGCATTCCATGGGGGTGTGGAAGGGCAGGGCAGGTGTGAGCTAGCTCTTGGAGAAGAGTAAAGGGGAAATTTCTGTATCTGAAAGATTGAGGGGCAGGGAGACTGAAAGCACTGACAGTAAAGGTCTTAAACACAGAAGGGGAGTGGATAATATACTGTCACTTCTCAGCAGACCATAGTGATAGGGGTAAATCATAGTGATAAAGTTACAGCTTCCTTGTGTGAGGTTCCTATTTTGAAGCATGATTTGAAAAAAAAATTGTATCATTTCCTGTTTTTTAACAATGTTATAAATAATACTAAGCCACGGTGTATTGCCTTTCTCCTTTCTTATTTTAAAAATACTGGTTTCTAAAGACTATGGACGCTGTGCTCATTTCAGCAGCACATATACTAAGAACTATTGACTCATCTCTTTATGGGAAAAAAAAACCAAATTAATTATACTTTTCATTTTACTGCGAAGAACATGAAATTTTGAGAAAAGCAAACCCAAAAAGACAGAATAAATCCTTTTAATGGTCATCATTATTTCATATAATTTCTAAAGGACGACGCAAATACCTGTCAGGCTTTTACATTTAAATACGTCGTTGTTTTGCTCCAATATTTGAACTTGTTGAGGATTGCAGGGCAAGTTTTCAAAATTGAGTTTTTAGCTTTTACACCTTGGCTTCTATTTAAGAATTCTACTTAGACAACTGCAAATACACATTTATAAGGAAAATGTGGTACAGTTTAGAGCTCAATAGGAATCATCAAGAAAATGTGTTTGAAAAAAGGTAAGAAGAAGCTCTTAATGATTTGAAGACATTGCCATGTGCCTTTGTAGTACTTTACAGTTTTCAAGATTTCCACACATTATCACATTTGATGCTTACAACTACCTTGTTTTGTCTGTCGCTTTATCTAGTTACTTTTAAGTTTTATGCTCTTATTTTAATAAACAATTACTATGTGAAATCCCCTTTCATTTTTCTGTAAAAATACTGAGGACAACTTCTATTACTCAAAGGATCCTATGTGGTAAATTTCTTTTATACTTTATGGCTAAGAATGCAAGGCAATAAGAGATAAAATAAAGAATGTTAGACTAAGAATAAGGAGACATATTCTATCCATTTCATATTTAGTAATGTCAGGAAATTAATTTAAATTATTTTGGCCGTATAACTTAATTTTGAGCCTGAGATTTCTTCACTTGGCATAATGGTGGTACCAGCACTGCCTTCTTAACAAAGTTGTTGGGTTGACCAAATAAGATATTACACATACACATGCTTTTGTAAGCTGATAGCAGAGTGTAAATGTAGAGAATTCAGAAATTCCATAATGTTGTATGTCAATTATACCTCAATTTTTAAAAATTCCAATAATAGTAACTATACTAAGGGTTGTTTTTCCATATTTGCTCTGAGTGCCAGGAAGGTCAGAGTCAAATTTGAATGTATTGCATAAACTATGTTAATCCTAGGAGTTGTCACATGTTCTCCTTTTTCTTGGTCTTGAATTTACCTGTTTTTCTTTTTTTAATTGTCATATGTCTTTGTGGAAGGAAGAGGAATAAAAATATATATACAGTTTTAGAAATAATTGAGGTGGTATGTGACAGAACTGCTGTTAAAACTTAAGTCTTCTTTCTTTAAAAGTGATACTTTACTGCAGCTTCACTTTAAATCAGTTGTCATTTACTTCGTTGGGGTTTTTTTCCCGTGTGTTTTTAAAAATAAGTAAAAATTAACTCCCATCTTATTCATATTAGTAGAAAATGGATAACAATGTTATTTTGACCTGTCAGAAATGAATTTTTTTAAGTTTATATTTCAAAATACTGTGGCCAATTTGCATCATCTCTGTTACGATGTTTCAACATTGCTCTAACATTGTTTTTAAGTTGCACGTCTTTTTAATAGCCTCATCTTGTTTTAAATGTAACATATATTCACTTATATTGGATTTTAAAGTTCTGAAAAACATTAATAAGTGACATATTAATTGGTTAGAATGCAGATAAATCATTAGTGTTTAAAGCTTAATGCTGTAAAATAATTAAGAAAAATACGGTAATTGACTTAACTATCTAGGGCAGTTTATTTCTAGGGAGAGTTACAGAGCAGTATTTCTTTTATGAGATCAACATGATATTGATATACTTTTGTTTTCAGGTTTGGATTACCATGAATTGCAGTTAAGATTCTTCAGGTGTGCTTATTTTCTGTGCTATCCATGAGATTTGATGTACCTTTGTGAAAAATAAATCTTTACAAAGACATTATCAGAAAGAAACTGTATGTTCACAATATTCTAATTTCAAAAATTATCATTAGAAATTAGAAGCTATAAGACATATCAAACTTTTATGAGACATCTGTATTTTTCATAGAATAACTTATATTTAAAAAATCTATGGCTGTTAAAAGTTGGAAGCTCTCTGTTAACATTTAATGATCTTGTCAGGGGAATATGATTGACACAATTAAGTTGTCTTGCATTTGAGTTACATAATTGATATGGGATGTGAATAGGATCCTAATTCAGAACATATGATAGTCTTGTTCCATTCCATTCAAGAATGAAATTAAAGCAACTTATAAATATATCTGGTTTTCATTAAAATATGGGGAAAAAATGTCTGCATGCCAAAGCATTTGCAATACAGCTAAGGATCTATACTTTATATTTCATACTTGGAACATTTTTATCATATAGGATTAAATCCACAGATCAAACAAGTTTTCTAGGAAGTATAAAACTATTTACTCTAATTCTTTTGGCTTAGAGAGACTGTATATTTAGATCACAGTGGGAAAACAAGGGTTCTGTTAGGTAACTATTTTTTCCCCCATTTAGGAAAAATCTTAAGGTTAGTATATTCCTCTAAAATCTTGATTTATAAAAATGAGCTTTTTGAGATTTCTTTGTACTGGCTTGTATTTCTCAGGCTGGGGTTTTATTTTGTAAGTTTAATCATTTCTGTTCCTTGGAAAGTGTACATTGCCAAATACAGTTCAGTTGACCATGACATGCACATGAAATTTAAAGTAACTTCCCCGTATGGTCTTTATTGTTGATAAAGGGTAAAGAAAAACAAACTGTCTTTACAGTTGGCTTTATTAACATAACTTAATAAAGATAAAAAATAATTAACAATAACCAGTAGCTAAACCAGGGACAGAGAAATTATATTTTGCAATAAAATTCTTTTTATATTAGGACTTGAAAGTTTAATCCTGTGAAGAGAAGCATGTAAAGAAGTCACAGTCTGGGGAAAATGAGTCAGTATCTGAAAAAATACCATAAATTCAGAGTTCTCTATTAGAGCACATAGAAGATTTCCATTGCTTCTTTGACTGTGGTCATCATCATCATCCTTTTGCTGATTCTGCAGACATAGAAAATGAACCAGATGATCTCTGAGGTCTCTTGTAGCTCAAGCATTCCATAACTCTGTGATTCTGAGTTACTGCCGGGAGAAAGTGATCTTCAGACCCACATTTCAGGGCTTTGGGTAGACGTGCGGCTTCTGTGGACATGAATGAATTGTGAAGTGAAATAGTATAAAGTTATAAAGTTGTACTATATGATGGTACACGTTACAAAGGTCAAGATTTCAAAGTGTTCCTAGGATTCTCATGGTCCTGAGGATTTACATGCTTGCTCTGGCCAACTCTACCTTCCTGACAGCAGGCACAGCAGAGCTAACAGATGGAATCTGCTTTGGTGCTCCTTTGGGCCTTTTTTGCTCCTGGATTGCAACTGTCTGGGTCTTATTTGGGTCCCAGAAGGAAAGAGATTTTAGGCATACAGCCCTGGGCTTTTTGCCAGCTTCAGAAATTTAGTTGCCAGGTGTTCTTCAATGAGGGATATTTTGAAGTTCCCGTTTTCATAGTTACTCAAGAGTGACTAGAAGATGAACATGCCAAGTATCATGTTGTACTTGTAATCTGTGTGCTGTTAGACCCTCCTGGGTACAGGAATTGTGGGGCAGAGAGCACAGCTTCAGGCTCATTAGCTGGAAGTGCTTGTGCATAGGTTTTGGTTTCTGGCACGAGCATTCCCTAAAGACATGAGTTACGATGGGGAAGGGAGAGCTGTGATCACGGTGGTGTTACTGCTGTTGCTCCTTCTCTTGCTCTGTTAAAGAGGAATTTGTCAGCACCCAATAGTACTCTTTAAAGATATAATAAAGAGGAATTCCTCATAAACCAGTGTGTAAGAGACACAGTGAATCATAAAGTTTGTGTTAGAAGCCATGGGTTGAAGCCCATGTAGAGGAAAACCTTTTCTTTCCTTTTTTTTTAAATTGAATTATAATTGACAGATAACATTGTGTAATTTTAAGGAGTCCAGTGTGTTGATTTGCTACCCTTATATATTACAATGTGATTATCACCGTAGTGTTAGCTAGCACCTCCATTACTTCACATGATTACTATTTCTTTTTTTTGATGAGAACATTTAAGATCCAGTTTCTTAGCAATTTCCAGGTATGTAAACCAGTTTTGTTAACTATAGGCACATTGTTGTGCATTAGGTCCTCTGAACTTTTTCATCCTCTAACTACAAGTTTGTACCATTCAACTAACATCTCCTTGGTTCCCCTACCCTCAGCCCCTGGTAACCATAATTCTACTCTGTTTCTATGAGTTCAACTTTTTTTGACTCCTCATATATGTGATATACACTATCTGTCTTTTTCTGTCTGACTTACCTCACTTAGCATTAATGCCTTCAAGGTCCATCCATTTGTCACAAATGGTAAAAGTTCTCTTTCTTGTGGCTGAATAATATTTCATTGTATATAAACCACATATTCTTTACGCATTCATCCGTTGACAGACACTTAGGTTGTTTCCATACCTTTGCTATTATGAAAAATGCTGCAGTAAACATGGGAATGCAGATATCTTTTTGATACCCTGTTTTAATTTCCTTTAGATATATGCCCAGAAGTAGAATTGTTGGATCAGTCATTTGGTAGTTTCATTTTTAATTTTTTTGAAGAACCTCCATGCTATTTTCCATAGTAGCTGAACCAATTCACATTCCCACCCACAGTGCACAAGGCTTCCCTCTTCTCCATATCCTTGCCAATACTTGTTACCTCTTGTCTTTTCGATGATACCCATGCTAACAACTGTGAGGTCATATTTCATTGTGGTTTTGATTTGTATTTCCCTGATGATTAGTGATCCTTAGCAACTTTTCCTGTGCCTTGTGGCCATTCATATATCTTCTTTGGAACAACTGTCTATTCATTTCCACTGCCCATTTTGAAATTGGATTGTTTGTTTGTTTTGCTATTGAATTGTAGGAGTTCTTTTTATATTTTTGATATTAACCCTTTATCAGATATATGATTTGGAAGTATTTTCTCCCATTCCATTGATTGCTTTTTTCATTTTGTTGATTTTTTTTGTTTTTGATATAGTCCGATTTATTTTTGCTTTTGTTGCTTATGCTTTTGGTGTCATATTCAAAAAAATTGTTGCCAAGACCAATGTCAAGGAGCTTTTTCCTTGTGTTTTCTTCTTTAAGTTTTATAATTTGAAGTCTTAAATTTAAGTCTTCAATCTATTTTGAGCCAATTTTTGTGAGTGATGTAAGATAGATTTCATTTTTCTGTGTGTGGCTATCTGGTTTTTCCAGTACCATTTATTGAAAAGACTTCTCTCCACTGAACATTCTTGCCTCCCTTGTCAAATATTAGTTGACCATAAATGGTGGGTGGGCTGGGTGATATTTTTAGGCCCTCCATTCTGTCCTTTTGGTCTGTTTATTTTTATGCCAGTCCTATACCACTTTGATTACTATAGCTTTGTAGTAGAGTTTGAAGTAGCTTTGTTTTCTTTCTCAGGATTGCTTTGGCTATTTGGAGTCTTAAGTTCCATTCAAATTTGAGGATTGTTTGTTCTATTTTGGGGGGAAAAAAGTCTTTGGAATTTGATAAGGTGTTGCATTGAATTTATATATAGTTGTGGATAGTATGGACATTTTAACAGTATTAATTCTTCTGATCCACAAACATAGACAGGATATCTTTCTGTTTCTTTGTGTCTTCAATTTCTTTCATTTAATTTTAAGTCTTATAGTTTTCGGTGTACTAATCTTTCACTTCCTTGGTTAAATGTTCATAAGTATTTTATTGTCTTCATGCTATTGTGAATGGGATTGTTCTGTTTATTTCTTTTTCAGAAGTACGCTTTGTTAGTGTATAAAAACACAACTGATCTCTGTATGTTGATTTTATTTCCTTCAGCTTTACTGAATTTGTTGATTAGCTCTAACAGTTTTTTGGTTGATGTCTTTGGGATTTTCTGTATATATGATCATATCTGCAATAAAGACAGGTTTACTTCTTCTTTTCCAATTTGGATGCCTTTTATTTCTTTATCTTGCCTGATTGCTCCGGCTGGGACTTCCAGTACTATTTTGAGTAAGAGTGGTGAGAGTAGGCCCCTGATCTTGTTCCTGCTCCTAGAGAAAAAGCTTTCAACCTTTCGCTGTTCAGTGTGATGTTAGCTGTGGGCTTGTCATATATGGGCTTTACTACGTTGAAATATGTTTCTTCTGTACCCAGTTTGCTGAGGATTTTATCATGAAAGGAGATTGTACTTTGACACATGCTTTTTTTTACATCTATTGAGATGATCATAGGACTTTTATCTTTCATTCTGTTAATGTGCTATATCATATTGATTGATTTGCGTATGTTGAACCATCCCACAGATAAATCCCACTTATCATGGTGTATGAGCCTTTTAATGTGCTGTAAAAGTGCTGTTGAATTTGTTTTGCTAACTTTTGTTGAGAATTTTTGCGACTATATTCATTGGGGATATTGGTCTGTAGTTTTCTTTCTTTTTTTTTTTCTTGAGTTTTTAGATTATTAATCCTCTCATGAAAAATCTGCACAGTCACCACAAATACAGTCACTGCAGAATCTTTACTCCTTTTTGCCAGCACCAACATTGGCCTTTGCAGTCCCCCTGACTTTCTTCGTCCTGTTCTTCCATTCCTTTTGCTGTTTCCTTGAGGTCTTTTTCTTCTCATGCAGGCCATGTCTTGCAAATCTGTGTTTGGGTTCTTTTTTCTTCATGTAATCCAAGGAATCAGAAATCCTGCCAAAGCCAGTTGTCTTGCCACCACCAGAATGGATTCTGAATCCAAATACAAAGATGGCATCTGGCATAGTTTTGTACATTTTGGCTAGTTTTCCCATAATTTCTGTCTTATGTACTGTTGCCTTCCCAGGGTGAAGGACATCGATGACCATTTTTTTCAGCGGAAGTAGTCGGTTGGTCATGAACTTCCTGGTCCAGATAGTTACTGTGTTGCTCATGATGGCAGCTGATCCTCAAGCCTGTAGGTTTCTTTTTTTGTAGTGTCTTTCTGTGACGTTAGTAGTAGGCCTTGTAAAATGAGCTTGGGAGTGTTCCTTCCTCTCCAGTTTTTTTTGAAAGACTTTGAGAAGCATTGGCATTAATTTTTCTTTAAATATTTGGTAGAATTCATCAGTAAAATCATCTGGTCCTGGGCTTTTCTTTGGTGGTGGGGGTAGGGGGTTGATTATTATTTCAATGTCCTTATTCATTATTGATCTGTTCATATTTTTTTTAATTCTTTATGATCCAGTCTTGGTATATTACATATTTATAGAAATTTATCCATTTCCTTAATTTAACATGGCATTGGGAGACTGACTACTTGGTAGAGAAAGGATGTTATTGCCAACTGGAAATTCTGAGAGCATCTACCAAATGATTTGAAAAAGTAATACCTATTATCTTTGATGTTCTCAGCTCTGATATTAGCATGTATTTTACTTTGTTACCATTGTGCATGTGTATGTATGCAGATGTTTCAGTGCAAAAATATGACAGCTACATTATAGAAAATTTAGAAGAGAAAGCAAGTAAAAATTATACATAATACCATCTGTTACCTAATCACTGTTTTCATTTTATTTCCTTTGAATTTTTACCAAAAACATTTTTAAAACATAGTTAATAATCTTTATTTTGTATTTCTATCATTAGCATATTTCATTTTACTAAATTATCTTTTTTAAGCTGCTTAACATTCCATTGAGTATGCTGTTTTTAACATAAACATTTTCTATTGTGGAATATATAGAATTTCCCCCAGCTTTTTAATATTATAACAGTGTATTCACAGCTTCATGTACATAGAATTCTTTATATTTTAGAGGATTTTCTTAGAGTAGATTCCCACATTTTTTATTGTTCTTTCTGCATATTTTTAATGTTTTTCCAAAAGATAGGGCTAACTGACAGATCACTAGCAATGTGTGAAGGACCAGTTATGCCATATCCTTGAATTATTTTCTAAATAATTTTACTCATTTAATTTCAACAGCTTTATTATTTATTTCTTTAATTAGCACCAGAGATTAGAATTTCCTACATGTGTATTTACTAGTTCTTTCATGAATTGTTTGGTTTTTTATATACTAAAGTCAAGTCTTTATTATTAAAGTCTTGGGGAATTAACTCTAATTTTTAAAAAACTTCAACACATGTATTTTTATATTGAAAAAATTAAAACCATGTGTATGCAAACAAGGAGAAAGTAAAAATTTCTCATAGTGCTGCTACATAGAAATATCTACATTTGGTATTTTAAGTATATCCTTCTGACTTTTTAATGGGTATCGAGTTCTTTTTAATAATCAAATATACTGTTACACTTTTAATCTACCTTTTTTTATTCAGTATTCTAATGCCTTTATATGAAAAATGTAATATTTTTTCTCCTAGTAATTCATGTCCTTTTTTGAAAATTTGACAAATACAGAAAACTGTAAGAAGAAAAATTACCCATCATCCTACCATCCAGAGATAATGGCTATCAGTATATTGCAGTTCCGTTCCATTTTTAATGAATCTATATTTTCCCTCAAAATTGCTCTCATACTAAATATATTTATGATACATTCATTATATTATTATACTTGTAAAAATTTTTTTTAATAATTATCCCATAGGTCTATAATTTATTTAAAATTGTCATGGCCTTAAATATTTGTTTCCAATTTTCACCATTTTAAATGTTTTCAGTAAGCATCTATTTACAAAAACATTTGTTCTTATTGCTGATTGTTTCCTTTTTTTAAATAGTCTTTGGTAAGTGTTAAATATTTGACACTTTCAGTGTCTCTTGCCAAATTTCTTTCCAGAAAGATAATTTACACAGTTTATACTTTCACTAGTTTTGTGTACATCTCATCACTCTCCACTCACATTGTCTATTACCTTAGTTTAAAATAATTGCTAATTTGGTAGTTGAGAAATGGCATCTCATTGTTTTGATACATTTCTTAAATGTAAATCCATTAATAAGAATAATAGGATTCCACAAGAACATATTTAACAAAAGGAAGTAGGTTTTTCCCACCAGGTGGTTGTAATGGTTATAATGTGTGAGTGAGTTGAGTGAGTGTGTGTGTGTGTAAACACAAACAGTGGAGTTCTGTGCCTAAAATAGAACTTTTTTTTCCTAATAGGTCTTGGTATCTTGATGGACAAACACTACTAATAATCATTTGTGTTGGCATCGTGTTCCCTCTTGCACTTCTTCCTAAAATAGGTAAGTCTTTATAGAGGAAGATGTTATTGATTTAGAAGAAAGGAGAAAGAAGTGGGGATGAGGACAAAGGGAAAGAGAAAGAGACAGAGAAAGCAAAAGAAAGGAAGGAAGGAAGCAGGAGAAAGAAAGAAAGGGAATATTATTAAAAATAATATTCAAGGGCTTTTAAATTTCACAGCACCACATTTTTAGCAGAAGGTGGTTGTGAATAACTTTGAACTTGGATTTATTTTAGGTTGTTCAGGCTTCAGCCCTGCCTAGTTAACCTGTTACTTGGTTTGCAGTAGTATTTTGTCTGCCCCACTAAAATAAAATCTTTACAGCGGAACATTAAAGAGCAGCCTTCCCCTACAGTGTACTATTAGTGGTAAGCCAGTTCCAATTCTGCTGTACAGAGCTACATAAATGATCTGTGACAGATAGTCGGAATGTTGTTATTCTCAGCCCTAAGCCCCAGATACCAAGCACTGTAATAAAAAACATACCCAAGATGTATAGCTTTAGCTGCACATTAGGATCACTTTCCTTATAAATTGCTTTTTATTTTACTGTTATTTTACAGGCTTTCTTGGCTACACAAGTAGTTTATCATTTTTCTTTATGGTGTTCTTTGCTCTTGTGGTAAGTTTAAAATATCATGTATTACTTACCTCCTCACCAAAATTGAACTCATTGTGTTAATGTCTTTTTTTCTTTTCACTCTGTTTTGTGTTGGGAGAGTATCCCATTTTATTTCAATGTGTTATTAAAAGCACTTCTGTTCTGCCAGACCATTTCCTTCATTGTATCTATTTTGAAGAGGCTTAGCTAGAATAGCATTTCAAATTCAGTTTCTCTCGTGGTTAACTAGAGAGAAACATACCAATTCCGTTAAAACCTTAGATGGAGTTGAATTCTTTCAGTAGGTGTGTATATTCATTTATTTCTGTTCAATATTGTGTGTATATGTCTGTGTGTTGCAGGGGGTCCTGAAGCATGAGAATCAGGCTGATTCTAATCTCTAAAATCAATTTGATCCTAGTCATCTTGATTTTGAAACTTTGTCCCATTTATGAAACCAGAGCTTTGGGGACTTAACCATTGAGGAGATGTAATAAGAATTGGGGTGCCTGAATTCTGTCTGGTTGATTCATGTGGTTAAGCTTTCATAAAAAGACTTCTGCAAAGGAACATTTTTTTCGCATGTGGAATATTTTTTAAAATTAGCTAATTTTATTATAATATTAGGAAAATATGTCTCAGATGATAAACTTTGTCTTAATATTTATAAAATAATTTAATAAAAAGATAAAAGAGAATTTGAATTTCTTATTTCCTTGTAAGTCTTCTAAAACAGATTTTCAAATATTGTATCTTTGTGTGAAATTTTGAAAATTCTTTTTCTCTTTGCATTGTAAGTTTATTCCAGTCATTATCTGTCAATCTTCTTTAAACTTGCCAAGAAGATACATATCTCAATGGCTTGATTAAACTCTTAAAATGATAAGCTTGATTACACTCTCCTTTGTTATTAAGAAATGAATGGAAAAAAAATGCCATCCAAAAGAGCAAGACAACACATCATTAGTTAAACCGTATAGTAGAGCCAGATTCCCAAGCTGTCAGAACAATCTAGGATGCATTTAGTTTAGGCTAAACTATCTTCTGGGAAACAAGGATAAAACAATTTGAGATTATTTAAATGAAGTGAAAGTGCCCCTGGTTTCGGTGTACAGAAGTAGTTACACTTTAATAAATGCTGTTAAAACTAAAAATACTTCACAGTGTTTACATTTAATCATTTGTTGAATTTATCAACATTAAAATCATTGCCCTTTCCCCAAATTGTCTGACTTGTATCTTACAAGTAAGTAATTGAACATACATTTTTTAAAAATACTGTTTTCATTCTATTTTATTGAGATATAATTGATATATAATGGTGTATAAGTTTAAGGTGTGCAGCATAATGACTTGATTTAAATGTACTGCAAAATGATTACCACAATAAGTTTACTTAACATCCATAAACACACTTTTTAGGTGCCACATTAAGAAGGAAACAACAAGTATTTTATTGTAATTTGATTGTTGAGAACCATCTGCATGGTTAAGAGTGGCGAGTGGCATATATCTGCAAATATAATGTATGGATAGTAAAGAGAATCAGTATAGATAACATTGAATTTTTTCCTCACAGATAATCAACAGTACAAGCGTTGCATAGGTAGGAGTAATCTGGGTTTTATAGCCCATAGTTTGAAGCAGGTAGAATGTACTGATACAACATGTCTGTTGCAGTTTTCACGGTATTCATTTCTGTCATGGCAGATACTCTCTAATTTGATGCAGACTCCTACTGTAACTGTCATGTGGAAACAATATCCTTATTCAGCATTTACAGTCATGCTTTACAGACCATCTGCTCAGATTTTTACCTGTGAGCATGATTTGAATTTCGTCTACAGTGGGACAATGAAGACGGGACATTGAAGACACTCTGTATACTTTTTTCTTAATTCTCTTTTTAGTTGGCATGTAGGCATACCTCCGAGATATTACGGGTTCAGTTCCAGAACACTGCAATAAAACACTTACCGCAATAAAGCAAGTCACACAAATTTTTTGGTTTCCCAATGCATAAGAAAGTATCTTAACACTATACTGTAGTCCATTAAGTGCACAATAGCATTATGTCTAAAAAAAAATGTACATGCCTTAATCTAAAAATACTTTATTGCTAAAAAATGCTAATTGTCATCTAAGCCTTCACTGAGGCGTAATCTTTTCTGCTGGTGAAAGGGCTGGCCTCGATATTGATGGCTGTTGACTGATCAGGATGATGGTTGCTGAAGTTTGGGGTGACTGTAGCAATGTCTTAAATTAAGACAGCAATGAAATTTGCTGCGTCAATTGACTCTTCCTTTCATGAACCGTTTCTCTGCAGGACGCAGTGCTGTTTGATAGCATTTTACCCACAGAACTTCTTTCAGAATTGGAGTCAGTCCTCTCAAACCCTGCCACTGCTTTATCAATTAAGCTTATGTAATATTCTAAATCCTTTGTAATCATTTCAACAATCTTCATAGCATCTTCACCAGTAGTAGATCCCTCCTGAAGGGATCTCAAGAAACCACTTTCTAGAGGGGAGGGTATAGCTCAGTGGTAGAGCATGTGCTTAGAATGCATAAGGTCCTGGGTTCAATCTCCAGTACCGCCATTAAAAAAAAACAAAACACTTTCTTTGCTCATCCATGAAAAGCAACTCTGCATGCATGAAAGTTTTATCATGAGGTTGCAGCAGTTCGGTCACATCTTCAGGCTCCACTTCCAATTCTAGTTCTCTTGCTCCTTCTATCACATCTGCAGTGACTTCCACTGAAGTCTTGAACCCTCAAAGTCATCCATGAGGGTTGAAATCAACTTCTTCCAGAGTTCTATTAATGTGGGTGTTTTGACCTCTTCTCGTGAATCACACATGCACTCAATGGCATCTAAAGTGGTGAATCCTTTCCAGAGGTTTTCCACTTACTTTGCTCACATCCTTCAGAGGAATCACCATCTCTGGCAGCTATAGCCATATGAAATGTTTTCTTAAAGGATAAGACTTGAAAGTCAGTATTACTCTTTAATCCATGGGCTGCAGAGTGAATGTTACTTCAGCATGAGAACATGAATCTCATTGTCCATCCATCAGAGCTCTGGGTGACCAGGTGCACTGTCAATGAGCAGTAATATTTTGAAAGGAATCTTTTTTTTCTGAGCAGTAAGTCGCCACAGTGGGCTTAAATATTCAGCAAACTATACACTTGTGTTGTCATCCAGGCTTTGTTGTTCCATTTATAGAGAGCACAGGCAGAGTAGATTTAGCGTAATTCTTAAGGTTCCTAGGATTTTGGAATGGTAAATGAGCATTGGCTTTACTTCAAGTCGCCAGCTGCGTTAGCCCCTAACAATAGGGCCAACTTATCCTTTGAATATTTGAAGCCAGGCATTGACTTCTCCTCGCTAGCTATGGAAGTCCTCGATGGCAGCTTCTTCCAATAGAAGGCTGTTTGGTCCACATTGAAACTCTATTGTTTACTGTATCCACCTTCATTAATGACCTGAGTTAGATCTTCAGGATGATCTCCTAAACCTTCTACAGCAGCACTTGCTGCTTCACCTTGTACTTTTGTGTTATGGAGCTGTGGCTTCTTTCCTTAAACCTCGTGAACCAATCTCTTCTAGCTTCAAACTTTTCTTCTACGGCTTCCTTACCTCTCTCAGCCTTCACAGAATTGAAGAGAGTTAGGCCTTGCTCTGGATTAGGCTTTGGCTCAAGGGAATTTTGTGGCTGGTTTGATTTTCCCTCCAGATCATTAAAACTTTCTCCATATCAGCAATAAGGCTGTTTCACTTTCTTATCATTTGTGTGTTCACTGGAGTAGCGCTTTTCATTTCCTTCAAGAACTTTTCCTTTGCATTCACACCTTGCCTAACAGTTTGATACAAGAGGACTAGCATTTGGCCTTCTCAGCTTTCAGCAAGCCTTCCTCACTAAGCTTAATCATTTCTAGCTCTTGATTTAAAGTGAGAGACAGTTTAAAAAAGTGCAGTTTTTCCTTTCACTTGAACTTAGAGGCCATTGTAGGGTTGGTAATTGGCCTAATTGCAATATTATTGTGTCTCAGGGAATAGGGAAGTCTGAGGAGAGGAAGAGAGGCAGGGGAAGTGCCAGTCAGTTGAGCAGTCAGAACTCACTCAACATTCATGCAGTAAGTTCGCCATCTTATGTGCACAGTTCATGGCACCCCAAAATAGTTACAGTAGTAGCATCAAAGATCACTGATCACAGATCACTGATCACTATAACTAATATGATAATAGTGAAACAGGTTGAAATACTGTCAGAATTACTAAACTGTGACACAGAAACATGAAGTGAGCAAATGCTCATGAAAAATGGTGCCTATAGCCTGGCTCGACACGGGGCTGACACAAACCTTCAATCCATAAAAAAACCGCAGTATCTGCGAAGCGCAGTAAAGCGCAATAAAATGAGATGTGCCTGTATTTATTTTAGACTCTCTAAGTAAATGGGTTTTAAAATACATAGTGATTAGGAAAAGGGAACATGTATATATTAACCCAAAAAATTTTTTTGAAGAATTCCAATTTTATCATTGATTATTTTTGTCAATATGTATTTGTGAATCTGTATAATATTATATTACATTTTTAAAAAATCAGTTCAGAAAATTATTATTTTCTGAAGTTATACTCTCCAAATAATGCAAATCAAAACCTATACTTGTATCTGGTGTCCCAGTTCCTTATTTTGCTTAAAAATTTTTGACATAAATTTTTGCCTCTGCTGAAATAGTGAAAATTTTAAAAATAAATTTTATTTTAGCAGTGGCTGAAATGATGGTAACTTTTTTGGTCCATTTTGAACATAAATGAATTTCCATTTTTTTCTAAAAGTTCTGTCTTGAATACAGATTAGTATTCTAATACTAATATCTGAAATAATATTTTAATAAATCAGTAGTGAAAATAGAGAGCTGTTTGAATGGATTTGGGTCAGGCTTGGGTTTCCTTCTGCTGAGCACTATGGCAGACATTATAGAGTTGTAAGAATTTCACCGGGACACTACTCTTAAGGATCCATCAATCTAGTTGGGGAAATAAGATAAATTTATTAGGAAAAAAACAGAGAACAATATAGTCAATACATAATAAAGTGTTGATTAATTTGCATCAGAATTACAAGACTTGAGAGAAGGATCTCCAACAGCTAGAATAAAGAAGGATGTGGAAGGAAATAAAACTTGAGCTGAGCCTTGAAAAGTGAGAGGAACTTGGAGCAGAGAGAAGGGCCTTTTGTGCAACTGAAGAAGTGTTTTTAATGCTTAATTTTCTTTTTCCCCTTGTCTTTCTAACACCTGAAGTTGTCTTCTTACAGTGTTCTGCCTTCAGTCTGAGCAGGGCTTCCGCTTACTCTTTGGGCTGGGTGTCTTCCATTCCTGTTTTATACTTCTGCTTTATAGGACATCACTTCTGCCCACCCAGCTCCACCCACAGGCTTGAGGTTGGGATGGGTCTCTGCAGAGAAATTAGCTGTAATAACTGAATTTTATGTTAATATAAAATCAGGTTGCTAATAATATTTTCTAATTAATAAAAAATAATTATATTGTATTTGGGAACATGTTTTGAAATATTTTGATTTGCAAGGCTAGTAATAGCAGCTGATAAAACAAATGAGGTAGCTCATATACCGACCTTATCAAAGTATCTGGTACACAAGCAGTAAATGCTGGGATGCTGCTGCTGCCAACCACTGTCAATAGGGGGAAATGTGAGAAGCTGAATTTGGAGCAGGGCTGAACAGAGACCAGTAACCACCATGATTCAACCTCCACCCCATCCTCATCCTTTCTGGGGAAACACACCAGAAAAAAAAATGGTGAAATTATCACTTTTGATTTTTTTCCTTTCCTCTTGATAAGTTGACCATTTAGTTTTATTTCATATTGAAAACTTACCTAGAAATGTTAAAGCAACTTGCCCTAGTTTATCCGTACAGTTCCTCCCCCCACCGCAGCTTGGTGAGGGTTTTAATTAAGAGAAGTTTTTTAGTTCAGTCATTACTTAATCCTAAAAGCATATGTTGTCCTTAGGTTTGTTTTGTGTCACTGTATAAAATTTTGATTGAATCCATTCAAATCCAAAACTAGATAAATACCAAATAAGAATAGTATTTACTTACTGGCCTTCTGCTGGGAAGGACAGATGCTTCCTTTATTCTCCTTTGCTCTTTTGTTTGCTGGGTTTCAGCCTGGAGCAAGTATTTACAGAGTAATTAGTGCCCTGAAACAACTACAACAATGGTAATGTTGACATAACCCAACTGTAGGGTTAGGAGCAGGATGTCGACAATTAAGTGTAAAATCCTGAAACATTTTCATTGATTGTTTCTAGGAAGTAGCATCCTTCTGGATTTCTTTTAATTAAAAAAATATATATTTTTACCAGTTCTAGTTCCCTAGCTGTGTGCTCTTACTCTTAGCCAGCTTCATTCACGTTCACCAAAAGTAAGATACCTCTGAAAAGCAAGGGAGGGGACAGTGCTTATACTTGAGAAATCCCTAAGCCTCTCCCTTTGCACCTGCCTGTGGCCATTTCCAAAACTACTAAAAGTGTTTTTTATCTGCCATTGATGCCAAGTCCACAAATAGCCATATTCTTGTTATTTTGTCACTAAAACAAATCATGTTCCCATTTTGAGTTGCATTTTTAAAAAAATGCCTTGATACTATTGGAGTTTTGAAAGTTGACAAAAGAGTACTCTCAGTCTTTAATGGGAGAGATCTCCATGAAACGGAGACGCAGGACCTCCGTCCTCCCCCTCCGCAGGTGACCGTGTCAAATGATGACCCCATTCTAACAGGGAAAATTATATGAACAGAGACTCTTCTGTTAGTTAGCATATTATTTGGTATGGTGTTAGATTAATTGAAATAATGATAACCTATTTGAAATTTGTTTCTTGTCATGCATTTTATAAGATACAACCTGAGTGCTGATTCTACTCACTCTTACAGATAGTAATTAAAAAATGGTCCATCCCCTGTCCTCTGACATTAAATTATGTGGAGCAACACTTCCAGGTAATTTTTTTCAAGTTTCTTCCTTTTTTTTTTTTTAAGTTAAAAAGAAAAAAATCTAACTAATAGTGATTTTTTTTCCTAATTAATAAAAAAGGAATGGCAATATTGCATTTGGAAACTTTGTTTTGAAATACTTTTATTTGAAAGCCTAGTAATAATAAACTCATCATTTTTTTTATGTATTCTGACTCCTAATAACCGTTGGTTTCTCTCTTTCCCCTCAATCCTCTTAAACAGATTTCAAATGCTACAGATGATTGTAAACCAAAGCTCTTTCATTTCTCCAAAGAGGTGTGTAAGTTATTAACAGATACTTTGGGTTGATTTTTCGCATTTCAAGTTTTAAGAGATTTGTGTAACAGGGTCTCTTAGGTCTTTGTACCTGTAACTAATTAATTTTCGTGAAAGTGCTAAGTATAGGGTTGCCTACCAGAAGAATAATATTATTTAACACAGGGTGGCCCATTATGAAACAGCCTCGCTTTTTTGGCATGCTTTTAAATGGAGCCTGTTTTAAATGGGCCACTGCCTAAAAGAACAGATTTACCGAATGTCTGGTCTGGCCAATAAGGTCCTCTGTGGATACAGACTTCCTGTTGCCCTCTGGACTTGTAAAGCTAAATAGCCAATTATATCCAAAACTCCTCCCCTGTGAGTAGAACCTCGGTCTGTGGCTAAACAGCCTCATCATTGGACCAGCAGTTGAGCACGGCCAATATGTTTTCTGGCCAACATTCCAAAGTTGAAATTTATGATGTCTGTAGTGGAGGCTGAAAGACCAAGTCCCCTTGCCTTCCCTGAGAGCCCTAGGGCACTGGGAACGCCTGCAAGAGTCCTGAGCATCAGCAGAGGAGCCAGGAACTGTGATCTGGATGACCTCTGCCTTATCGTTCTGGAAGCGCTCCATGGCTTCCTACTGCAGCAGGTTTCTTCATGTACGCTTTTTGATTCTAGAATCCCCTCCACTCATATACAACTCGCTTAGTGTGATGTGTCAATGTGGTAGCTCCTCCAGAATTTTCCTTTTTATTCCCAGTTTTAAGTGAGAAATGCCTCTCTGGCCCCACAAGGGAGGTTACATGGTAAAGGCCTCCTTGTGTCTTAAAGATCCAGGTAGGGTAATTGACAAGCCAGGAAATTGAGCAATATATGAAAGAGAATTTGTGAATTAAACTTGCATTCCCCTAATCCAGCTTCAGGAAACACTACAGCTTTCCTTCCTCCCAGCACTCTTCAGATGTTTAGGAGGCCTTATGTTCAAAGATAGGTCTTCAGTCATCTGGAACTTCTTTTGCTGAATGAGCCTTTAGTTAGTTAAGTGGAAGTTTTTTTTAGAGTAGAAAAGAGAACATGAATCATTACTATCCATTTTATAAAGACAGTATTTTCACTTAGATGGTAACTTTTGTTTGTTTTGTAACTTCCTCTGGTTCTTAACTTTTGAAATTAATGATGACAACAAAAACTATGACCATGTATTCCAACAAATCTCTAAGAATTTGTTGGTCTCAGTTAATCATGTTCATTCCCACTGAAAGAGACTCTAGTCAAAGATGCTAAGATGTGATTAATATATTCACCATTCTGTTAGGTTAAGTTGGTGCTTGGATTGAGCTGGTGAAACGTTCAAAAGCGTAATCTATTATTGCTGCTTAGTTTTCTAATGCATACATTAGGAAAGACTGAAAATTACAATAAGATCATTTCTAAACTGGTATTATTTAATCTTAACTAAATGTTAGCTATCTTACCTAAGTTACTTCTATCTTACCCAAATAATGTAGAAGCAGCAGTGATTGTAGTAAAAAAACAACATGATTTGGAAGGAGCCAAGAGATATTTTGGCTAGTACAGACAATGCAGCTATCAAGTGAAATATTTGCTGGTGACCATAATTGTGTGTCTCATTAAAAAAAAAAAACTTATAAACAGGTGTTCATGAAAGACGAAATAAATTTAACTAAATCGATTTTTTTTAGAGCACTGACTTTATTGTCAAATGAAGTTGTGGTTTCAACAGAATAGCATTTAATAATTTCATCTTTTAAACTTTTTTTTTCAGAGTGCTTATGCCATACCAACCATGGCTTTTTCATTTCTCTGCCATACCTCAATATTGCCTATTTACTGTGAACTTCAAAGGTACTACAGATTCCTGGAATATTTTAAATGTATTAAGTATGTCTTTTTACTTCTAGGACTTCCAGATTGAATAACATTGTCATCTATGACTCCTTCCCTCCCATCGCTGGATTCTAAGTGTTAGTTTAAAACAAAAGAACCAAAAGTTAGTTCTGTCCAACTTGGGAATGTTTCTTAGAAGTGTAATCCCTCGTGCAGCCATTTCAAATCAGGAACTCTCATGTGTAGTTATTAAAGAACTAGGTCTTGAATGATTAAGGAATCCTTTTGAATGGCTTGGGAGATACTTATTTATTTAGATATAATTCAGAGCATTGATTCTACTTGTGCCATTTTGTCTTTTAGCCCTTCTAAGAAAAGAATGCAGAATGTAACCAATACAGCCATTGCTTTAAGTTTTCTCATTTATTTTGTATCTGCACTCTTTGGGTACCTCACTTTTTATGGTAAGTATATTACGTTCATTATAGATCATAGAATAAATTGTTCTGTAGTTGATCTCACACCTGAATATGGATTTTGTTTCTGCCTTTCATTAGCAGATTAATCTGTTCAGACTGCCGGAATTCAGTGCACTACTGTGGTGGCTCCATGGGCCTCAAAGAACTGATTTCCTTTCTCTTAAAAAGGTGGATCAAGTTAAAGATTGATAACTTCATATGAAAGTTTTCTTAAATACCTAAGTAAAACCTCAGGCTTACGGACAGTGAAATTTTTCTACAAGAAGAAAATGTACAATAACAATTTTTTTAAATTGAGAATTCAGTATCTTAGACTCTAGTTCAGCAGTTGGGGAGGTTGGGAGAATCGGTCATCTTAATTGCAGAAGAACAAGTCAAGAAAGGACAGGGTTCTGCAGTGGACTGTAGCTGTACACTTCGATGTCAGAGAGCTCTGCCTTTAGGCTTAGTTCCACGTTTCTGCCAGTGCATTCTATGATGTGCCATGACCTTTCTTCCTAAATTTTTAAAGGATTCTTTTCAATTCATAAAATAAAAGTAAAATATTCTTTTCTTTATTTTTGAAAAATTACACACTTGGTCTGTTGTTTTCCCTAATGATAAGAATCTCAAGAAAAAGTAAAACTTAGAAATCTAGAACAGGAAAAAAAAATTGTAAGCTCTCTTGTTTAATTTGCTAACAGACACATTATAACAAATTACACTCCATTTGTCAAATTCTTGGATACACTTTTCAGTTTATGAATGCTTTTTATATGAATGCTTTTATAACAACGTTCCAAGTAGATGGCTGTTATTACTTTGGTGATATTTAGCTGTTATGACTCTGACTTCATGGTCCATAGCCTTGTGCACGTGTTTCGGGTTTTAGACATCCATGATGGATTGTCATGGCTTTGCTTACCTCCCAGAGTTTTTCCAAGTCTGACAGGTTTTTGGACAACATTTACTTTCATAGCCACCTTTCTTAAGCCCGGTGGAAAGAGTATGGATTTTGAAATCCAACAAATAACGATTTTTAAAAAACTACCTGGCTCTAACCAGTTGTGTGACCTTGAACAGGACACTTCACCTTGCAGTATCTTTATCTCCTCATCTTCAACATAGGGGTAATTGTATAGAGTTGTACTGAAGAGGAAGTAAGTGTGTGTACAAGGCTGGTTACAATATCTGGCACATAGCAATCTTCCACAAAGGAGAGCTGCTGCTGCTAGTGTGATACGTTATTTTTATCATTGTTAGTGTCATTATTTCATAATTTCAGGTACTCTGTTTTTCACCACTGTACTTTTCTTCTTACTATCGTTAATGAAATTTAATTTAAATATGGTAACTTTTCAGTATACAGTGTGTTATCTTGGAGTTTTCAGTGTGTGAAAAATTCTATTTGCTCTTTATAGGTCTTTTCTTGCTATCTCTCTGTCATTTCAGCAGTAATAAAGGCGATTCATTAATCTAAATCTGCTCTTGCATGTTTGTGCTTTGTTGGATAAGAGTGGTGGAGCTCTGTGCACATCAGGAAGAACATTACCTCTTACTTCCAACATGAGCATGGATACACTAAAGGAAAGTTAACAGATTGTTCAATTTTGATCATTGTTAATGAAACAAAATTCTTGAAACACAGAAACTATTTTTGGTTGTTGGATTTGTTTTTGTATAGACTTGAGCTCAGTAAGACTTTTCTATAGCAATAAGATAGTATAGCAGGGTCTCTGTTGAGATTCAGCAAAAACTTAGTAGAAGAACTATATATTTTTGTAAATTAAAATTATCACCTGGCACAAATACTGTTATATTTAGGGATCTCCAAAATTGAGAAGAAGTCCAAAAATGAACCCCCTTTTCTTCCCTATAGATAAACAGAACTATATGGAAAAAACCTCAAATGACCTACAGTCTCCAGGATAGCTGAAAATGGTTACATAAATGACCACGAGATGTTAGGAGCAGTGTTAAATTGTAAGAAAGCTTAGATTGGAAGGGAAGTGGAAGAATGATGGATGCTAATACATTTTTTTGAACTAACATTTATTACGTAAGTGCCAGGTGTTTTACATACATCGCCTAACTTAATCCTTACAACAACTCTGCAAGGTATAAGTTCATATAGGTTGGGCAGTTTGGCCAGCACCCACAGCTAATGAATAATGAGTTGGGATTTGAATCCAATTCTGACTCTTTCCAGAGTCAGTGCCTGTATTACTGTGCTGTCTACTCGGGAGTTATGCCATGGAACCCAGATCCCCTTCGTTCCAAGTGTTTTCTCAAAGTGAACTTTTGGAAAAGCCTGGCTCACTTAAGCTCCAGGCATCTCTCTCTCACTCTCTCTCTCTCTGTCTGTCTGTCTATCATCTATCTATCTATCTATCTATCTATCTATCTATCTATCTATCTATCTATCTATCTATCTATTTTTGTTTAAATAGAGAGGCTAAATATTTTCATCATGTGCGGGAAATGTTCCCTGCACAGAGATTTTCCTGGTTACCAAGTAAAGCTGTTGTCTCTGACAACCGTTCTTCAGCAATGCACATTCTTCAGAATAGCCACATTTTATGTAATGGAGAAATACACATCTAAGGAAAATTACATGGTGGGTAGGTAGGTAGGTGATAGACAGAGATAGGAGGAAAGAAAGAACAATATAAAAGTAATTCCTTCTCCAATGACAGAAGAAGATTCAGATACTGATTTACTATTCACGGTGTTTCTTTTCTGGGTTGTTAATCATAACCAGGGAAAAGCTTTTATGGTATATTTCTATTGGAGTGCCAGTGGCTATTGATCTTATAGAAAGAAATTGCTGGTTGAGCCTGAGCCCTTGTCAGAAGGGCTTGTCAAGGTCAGGGCCTTCAACTCACTGTATAGATGAGAAGCTGAAGTCCAAGAGGTGAAGTGGCCTGTCACACAGTTAGTGGCAGGTCTCCTGAGTATTAATCCAGTGATCTTTCTGTTACTCAGTGGTAATCTTTATAAACTTCATACTCTGTTTGACAGTGTGCATTAAACAGGACAGCCTCCTGACTTCAATAGATTGTATAACTTGAGGAGATCACCGTCAGGTCCTTACTGAGCTTTGTAGAGATTTGTCTGAATCCGGAGAAGTGTGTTGTACTCTATCCCTTACATGTGTTAAGGCTCAGCTAAGAACACAACTGAGTGGCTCAGGAGAAAGGTTTTTATCTTGGGAAAGTAGAACGTAGACATGCAACAGATACTTTGAATTTGTAATGCGTCTGGTTCTTCAGGCTTCTGAAGCTGCTTGGGATCCTTTTATTTAGTGCTCTCAAGGCGTGGTTAATATCTAAATTTTGTCAGATGAAAGGGACCAATAAGTATGTACCTAGGTTAATAATACTGACTCTGATTACAGATGGTAAAGCATTATAAGACGAGGAAGAAAAAGTGTTCCTCTGGTGAGCCAGGCCAATACCCAAATGTTGCATAGTAACCAGACCGTTTTAAAAGTCTACAAAGTTGTTAAGCAATAAATGTTAATAGCTCATTTTTTATGATTCAGAAAGTGGAAATAAAATAGTTTGCCATATTTCTCCAAAGACTCACAAGTATCTCAGAGATTTGGGACTAGAATCCAGCTTCCCTGGCTCTTCTGATCTCTTACCTGGTCCATTTAGTCCCACCTGATGTCAGGTATGTCTCTGATACTTTAGACAGTTTCTATCCCATTTCCATCGTTACTAATCTGGTTTGAATTCGCATTACCTCTCAGTGATTATGACAGTAGCCTTCTAACTGTTAGTCCTGTTTGAGGTTCCTTTTTCTTCCAATCTGTCTTCCTGCTTAGTTCAGATTATAATATGCTTTTCTTTAGAAGTCGTTGCATCTCTGTGGCCTGCCGGATTGAGTCCAGACCCTGAGAAGAGCTCTCTCCTGGGTCTTAAATGCATTTCCAGCTTATCACCCACTAGTCTCTGCTCTGCGGCACACTCTCTCAGCTGCTCTAGTGCTGCTGGGCTGCTCATTTTCTCAGATGCATATTCCCTTGGCTACCTTGGGGCTCCTGCTAGTGTAGGTCTTGGTCCTAGAGAGACTCTCCCCCCTACATCTTTGAATGTCAGCACACCTCGAGTAACTCATGTAATGCTCTCAGTAACTCTACAGGTCAGTATAGTATTGCCCCCACTTTACAGATGTAAGACCTGAGAGACTCAGAGAAGGTAAGTTGCTGGTAGGAGTTGAACATTAGTCTGTGTGATACCAGAAGCCAAGGCCCTCTACTCCCCTGCTGCTCACCGTATCACAATGACCCTACTCAAGTCTTCATGGATTTCTTCTACATGGATCCCAAAGCCATAGTTATCTTTCCCTGTTCAGAATCACCATAGCTCTTTGCTTAGACCTTCTTCTGACACTTGAGTGTGTATCTGTGTTTATACACTTTCTATTTCATGATTGTATTCATCTTCTTGCTCCTGTAAATGTTAAGGTCTTTGAGAACAGAGGTGTGTTTGATTTGTATTTTTTATTTCCTCCAAAGCAACTTTTCCAAAACATATGCTCTCAAATTGAAAAAAAAAAAAAAAAGACCATTCTCTTTTAAGTACAAGCTCATCTATCCCTACAAGGCAGCAGTATGGAGTGTTCTTGAGAACTCTCAGTCTTCATACCCCTTGTCTGACTTGGGGTGAGGAAGACATGAGGTTGGAAGAACGCTATGCAGTGAAGCGTGGCCAGCATGGACAGGTTCTGTCACTGACTACACGCTGGCTTGCTAAGGAAGTCGTTACCCTAAACTGCATCCTCTTGTAACAGATGAATGTACAGATGAAATGTTGAAACAGGTAACATGCCCAAAACGCTGTAAGATTCTAGAAGGCATTGCGATATTGAGGAAGAGGTGACTTTGCCACCAAAAAAAAAGAAAGTTGGGTGCACAACTCTGCCAGGTCTGCCCCTTTGTGTTGTATGATCTTGGGCAAGTCAGTTAATGCTTTTTAGCGCAACTACCTAACTTAGATTGTTGTAAGAACCAAATTCTGTAGGACACGTGAAAGCACTTTACAAAGTAACATAAATGTTCAAAACCTTCAGATGATGGAAAAGCTCAAAATAAATAATTTTTAATATATATTCATTGTCATCATGTTAGAGATTCTGCCTGTGCTAATTTCTAGTTTCACTAAAAGACAAGATTGTAGGTTTCAAGATGTTTAACTAATGTCTCTGTGTTTCATAAGATAGAAAAAAGGCCAGAGATGGCTTTGGTCCTGAGCATCCAAACTCTGTTAGGATCCGTTTGTGCAAAGGAAAATAATGTCGCTGTTATTGACATCTTAGTAGTTTATAATGTGACCCTTATTATTTTTTAAATTTTCAGACAAAGTGGCGTCAGAATTACTACAGGGTTATAGTAAATACTTGCCACATGATGTTGCTGTCACGACTGTGAAGTTATGCATACTGTTTGCTGTGCTTTTGACGGTGCCTCTAATCCACTTCCCTGTAAGTATTCTCTTAAAGGTTTTGTTGCTCAGTGTAGCAGCTCCCTAATATGGCAACACTAATTCTTTACAGACTAGAATGTTTGAATCACATCTAATCTTGTGTATCTTATTCATTTGTCAGGTAATTGATCAAAGACCACATACTTGTGTATGGCCCCATGAAAGCACAAAAATAGCAGTGAACCACTAAGCTAATTTGTGCTTTTTCAGATTTAGTTTAGATTTACGCTGTCCCACAGCATTGTTTCCAATTTAGAGACTGTAGTTCTTCTAAAGTTTGGGTTTTTTTTTCCCCTTTAATTCTATATTCTGTTTTCAAAAGAATGTGCATGAAGAAGAAAAATCAAATCAGCAAAAAATAAACTCCTTCTGGTTTACTGGAAATTTATTTTCACACAGACGCTCTAGTTTAGTCTTAGTCACAAATTTTATTTGCTCTAGAATTAGAATTTAAGGGGCAGAACAGTTTTTCACTCTGCATTTAGTTGCCGTATGTAAAAATCTTAAGAATTTCTAAGAAAATGGAATCATTGGCTTTGGGTACACATGCTTCTCCATGGATGTTTGAGTCCCTAAACAGTGAGTTCCCTAAGAACTGGGCCTTCAAAATTTTTTGCCTCCTCCCTTTGTGGACTGCAGCACCATCAGTGACATGGGGACCAGATAAACCTTTGTGGGATGTGACTGCCTGTTGCCTGCCAAGGCAGCGGGAAGTGTCATGAACTAGTTTTCCTATTTACATGCTGTGAAACATATTATAACATAAAATAGTAAATGGTGTTTCTGTCCCCTGGCATGATTTCTTTTTCAATTTTAAACCATTTATTCCTTTATCTGTTGAATTTAATGAAAAGGATACCTTGAGATTTCATCACACAGTGTTATTGTTGGTAATTTTGAAAATTATGCAGCCTAAAGAAATTGCATGTGAAAATTTTTTCAAGAATTAAAGCAAATTAATTCTCATGAAGCTCTCACAGATAGGTGTATTTCTTAGTTTATGTGCAATAAACACCTTATAATAATAGTTTATACTGTATTTTTGGAATCTAAATGGTTTAGGGGACGAGATTATCATAGTAACTACCATATGTGTGTTTCCCTAAGCAAGTAGTTTGGCTTTGTCACTTTCTCTTTTCTTAAATCTGTTTTTTTTTCTGTGATACAGGCAAGGAAAGCTTTAATGATGATGCTTTTCTCCAATCTCCCATTCTCGTGGACTCGCCATTCTTTGATCACTATAGCACTCAATATTATCATTGTTTTATTTGCACTCTATGTTCCTGACATCAGGAATGTATTTGGTATAGTTGGTAAGTTTTCTATTTCAAAAAATCCATATAATAAAACATAAAATTGTCATCCAGCCTCACATCTGAATCTTGCAATATTCTTTTTTTTTTCTCTTCCCACTTTAAGGTTCCAGTACATCCACGTGTTTGATTTTTGTATTCCCAGGGCTGTTTTATCTTAAATTGAGCAGAGAGGATTTTCTCTCATGGAAAAAGTTGGGGGTAGGTTCGTTTTTGTTTCTTTTAAGCATCTTATTTTAAGAAATAATTTGTCATTTTATAATTAAGTATTTTAACTACATGAAGAAAGTTAATGTATTTTGAACTGTTAACCTACATTATTGGAGAGGGTGGAGGTTTAAAAAAATACTCTAATTCTTCTTTATCTTTTTCCTTATTTCCACAGGCGTTTGTTTTGCTCATCTTTGGTATTTTGGTTGGTAATTTTAGTTTAGCACTCATTATTTTTAATTGGATTACTAAATGAAAAACTATTTTCCCACTTCTCATGAAGAGTAAGTTACCTCCCTATGCAAAAAAGGAATTATTCTGGAAGGCACCTTGGATGAATCCTCTTCGTAGGGCTTGACATTTTTGCAAACATTAACAGAAAAGCACAACAAAATGGGAGTGAGTAGGGGAAAGTAGACATAGCAGTTTTAATCGAAATAAGAAACAAACTCAAAATGCGCTTAAAAATGTTGAGCATCTTTTGTTGTGGGTTTTTTTTAATTAATAGACTTTATTTTCTAGGGTAATTTTAATGTTTACTGAAATAATTGAGCAGATAGTACAGAGAGTTCTCATATATCCCCTCATTCCCAGGACACCCATATTTTCCCATCTGGCAAAGATCGTGCATTAGTGAGGTGCATTTCTTACACTTGATGAGCCAATATTGATACATTGTTATTTACTTAAGTTCATGGTTTACATTAGGGTTTACTTTTGATGCAGATGTTGTCAACCACTGATCTTTTTACTGTCTCCAAAAAAGCCATGAGCTCTAGGAGCTTTTTCTACAATGTTATTTAGTAGAATCATTCAGCTCTAACCTTTCAGACTGTCTTCACTTGGCAATACGCATTTAAATTTCCTCCATGTCTCTTTTCGTATTTTAATAGCTCATTTCTTTTTATCACTGATAATACTCCATTGTGTGGATGTACCACAGTTTGTTTTTTCGTTCACCTGTTGAATGACTTCTTGTTTGCTTCCAAATTTTGTCATTTATGGATAAAGCTGCTACAAACATTTGTATGCAGATTTTTGTGTGGACATAAGTTTTCAGCTTATTTGGGTTAATACAAAGAGCACAATTGCTATATCATGTGGTAGAATATTTAGTCTAGTAAGAAACTGCTGAACTGCCTTCCAAAGTGGCTATAACATTTTGCAGTCCTGCCAGCAATGTATGAAGAGTTCTCATTGTTCCACATCCTCGCCAGCATTTGGTGTTGTCAGTGTTTTGGATTTTCGCCATTCTAATGGGTGTGTAGTTGTATTTTGTTGTTTTAATTCGTATTTCCCTAATGAATTATTATGTTGAGTGTCTTTTCATATGCTTATTTGCCATCTGTATAAAAAAAGAAGGTGAGGTTCAGATTTTTTAAAATGGGTTGTTTTCTCATGGTTGAATTTTAAGCATTCTTTGTATAGTTTAGATACTAGTCTTTTATCACAAATGAGTTTTGCAAAGATTTTCTCCTAGTCATTGGCTTGTGTTTTCATTCTTAACAGTGTCTTTTGCAGATAATTTTTAAATATTATTAAATATATTGAGTCAATGTTTCTTTGGTTTTTTTTAAGAAATCAGTACATTGTTTACATACAAAATTCAATCTTAATGTGTAGGTTAATGTCAACATTGCTCACTAAAAACAAAACTATGAGATTATTCCACTTGGTTTTTTTGTTTGTTTGTTTTGCCTTGCCTCCAAATCCTGACTAAGAAACTTTTGTGATTTTCCTCTGTTGTGCAATATAAGATAGAGCTGCGATGATTTGCTGTGGATTTGAAAGTTCTCTGAGCTTTCTCATTTGTCACTAGAATATGTGATTTTCTACTTGGCAAACAGAGACAAATAGTGATGATTTCTATTCTATTTTGTTTGGAAGTTATAGATCATTCCTGTCTTCCCGATGATGTGACTTATTTCTGGTTGGAGACCAGCAGCCAGATCCCTCCCCTCCAGGAGTGGTCTATGGAAAGGATACCTTGTTAGCAGCCTTCCAAAACCAGGGTGTATCTTAAAAATGTAATCCTACCCCTGTGCACATGTAAAGTAGGAAATTGCATGCAAAGTGTCAATTTGCATATATGGAAATACACACTTCTGCAGGTGGCCCCTTGCTTCCCACTTAGGAAATAGGCTAAAAATTTGACAACTGAGCTGCTCTTTTGAGTTAACATACTTCTTCAGCAACTTGAGAGCAGCATGGAGTAATGGAAAATGTCCAAGTTTTGGGGTTAGGAAGGCTGAGATGAAAATCTCAGTGAGTTTAGGCAAACTACTTAACCTCTCAAAGCTTCCACTTTCACATAGGTATTAAATGGAGTTAATACCAATTATACAGGGTTGTGTTCAGAGGATTAAATGACCTTGTATAAATTAGGTGCAGACCAAAACAGGCTCTCTTAATAGATTAGGTATTTATCCCCTTTCTTTCTTTTATCCCTTCATCTGGACCTGTAAAATGAATTTGTTTTCAGTCAGGGACATGAAATTTCTTCATCTTCCATCTTGTACAACTAAGACGTTTAGAACCTTCTTCTGGCCTTCATTCACAGGAGAACTGGCCCCGTGTGCACTCTTTTTAGTGCTTTCCCACATTTCTGCCCCAGCTGTACTCTCCTCCTAATGCCTTCCTGAAACTAGGCAATTAGCATGGTCCTAGGGGCACAGCCAGGCTTGGCCTCCCGTGTAGCTTCAGGTCAGCTAGAGCCCATCAATCTATTGGCTAATTCTTGGGCACTCTTTTTCTGTTTATGAAATTATAGATCCAAAATACAAATAGGTGTTCAGCTGCTAAAATAAATCTAGTCCCAGTAATACTAAAATAACCCTAAATCTGCAACAGATGCAAGGATGCCCCCTGGGGCAAATGTTCAGTGTGATGACAGCTGGGCATCAATTAATACATTTGTCACCTGCTCATGGGGTGGGATCCTGGGAGGTTTGGCAAAGGGACATGTAACCTATTGAACACTGCGCAAAACTTATTATCAGCAGAAAATATTTGCAGAAGTGTTTGCTTTTGTTTTACCTTAATATTCTGCCTTATCTAGTTGCCTGTCTGGAGTTGCCACTTTCCCTGTGAGTTTGGAGGAAACTAGTAAGATGACTGGTAACAGCAGTGCCCCCTTCACCAGAATTTCAAGGAAAACCTTGTTCAAGGACTCCTCAGCATTTTTCTCAGGAAATACAGGCCTTCTCATTATAGGCTTAATGTTCATAATTTATTAGGTAATAACTGTTTAAAATAAAACTAAGTAAAGCACAAAATATATATTTTTCTAACACTTGGAGACTTGTTTGCTAAATTAGAAGACGAAGTGCTGAGAATATAAATTACTTTCGTATGTTGAGGGTGAATGTTTAAATTGTACTTTTCTTTAACAGAATGTTTACTCATGAGCTTAGCATTTAAATGGTTAAAACAAGCCTTTGAAGTTAACACTCCATTAAGATGAATGGGGGTAATTCACACCTCTGCTGGTGCTGTATTATTTCAGTCTGGCTGCGGAGAAAACAAGACAGCAGTAGGTTGATTTACTGTGTGAAGGCCCTTTAAACACCCAAGGTCTGGAAATCTGTTGTTTTTTTCCTTTTCCATCTAGAGGTAGAATCTGAAAGTCAGCACAATCTAGGTGTAGAACTGAAGTCTTGAAAGTCCTGTGTATTCCCCCACTGGGGGAAATTCGTAATGGCATTTGATGGGTAGCAACTTGCCAGGTCACCCCAGCCTCTCTGGCTTTGCTCCTGTACTCTAGTGTTTCTTCCTACCATGGTGCCTTTTAAATTTAAGTTTAGTACCTTGGTATGTTCACCAGTGGAGAAGCAAAGAGAAACCACCCATTTTCAGGTAAACCTTACACATGCCTCTTGATAAACTGAGCTAATCATTGGCCTTCAAGTGCTCCTAAAAAATATTTTTATCTTTGCAAAATCTTGTGTTCTATGTTTACCTATATATGAATCATCCACCTCTAAGAACTTTTAAAAATATTTTTTATATTTTTGTACTGAAGTCTATAGTCAGTTACAATGATCAATTTCTGGTATGCAGAAGAACTTTTTTCTTCCCTATTTTAAGGGGGTAATGGGTGGTGGGTGAACTGAGCAGAGATCTGGTGGGAAAGAGTCACTTCTTTCTCAATGTGTCCTTTGCACCAGTGCTATTTTGTATTTGAGGTGTGTATTCCCCCATTGGGGGAAGTGCTGTAGCCATTTGACCCTGAAGCCATTCATTTCAGCGCCTAGGGATAAGGTTATGTGAGCACAAGTGAAATGATGAGCATTGTATGGGAAGTTAATGAATTTGGAGGATCTCTTTTTAGGGTAAACAGGTTTTTCTCTTCTCCATCGTCTGCCCTGTGTATTTGCAGGGTCAGGTTACTAAATAATCTGTGGGTAGCTGGGTGTGGAGAGTATTTCCATTTGGGCTGTCTCCAGTACTGATATGGCCAGTACAGTGTATGGAAATGGGAAATAGATGCAAGAAGCAAAAGGACTCAAACAATTAATTTTAACCTGTTTTTCTTCTTGGCATGTTGACAGTACTCTGGCTGTGTTAGAATTACCCGTATTGGAAACATACTTTGTTCCCTGCAAATTACTCTGCCTGGATTTTAGATGTCATAATTTTTGGTCTAAGAATTTCTCAGAACCTTCTGTAGTCCTAAGAAATTAGCTTTTCTAATTTAAACACATAATTTATTCATCTTTCTATCACAATCCTCCTACATATAGTCTTTCCATAATGAAGTAGAAAAAAATGGGAAAACAAAATTTTGATGAAAGATGTGTAAAGATATTGTGGATGTGGTTTCTTCATTGTGATCAGAGTTCTTTGTTTCTCACCCTTCCTAAACACTCTATGTTTTTGCTATCGTCATGATCCAGTGGCCTCGTTTGCCAGGCTGTCAATCAGGATGAGCAATTATGAGCAGCAGGAAGACTCATCTTGGCTGATGGCCAGGGGGACAGGTGGGAGTGAGA